AGAAAGAAGGAGATGGAAATATGTATATTTGAGACGAGCGAGAAAGTAGGAATTCTAATGGGTTGAGCAAGAGACAGAGACAGAAAGAAGATGCATTTGCTAGTTGCGTAATCTGGATAGCGAAACTATTTTCCGACTACACACACAGTTCGCCTGAGTAGATATGTCGATGAGGCAAAAAAAAATGAATGAGAGTAATGGGACTCTATATACATGCATATAGGCGGAACGACCATCAAATCATAATTTAATTTTTGATAGTAGTTTGTTTTATTATTAAGACTATGTATCTCCTTTTCTTATCACATACTGAAACAAAAATCGAATGATGTTTTATGAGAAAGCTTAGAGGTTGACCATGATTTTTGATATCATCGTCGGATAAATTTTTTGAAGGTTAAAATTATCTGACGATAAAATTTGAAATATTGATTGTATAGATCGATATTTGTTAGATGTAAGTAAATTTTCTTATGTTTTATTTTTCTAATAAATATTATATTATAATTTCTTTTGTTTTTTGTTTATTAAAATAACACATTGTAAGCGTTCGTGGAAAATAAAAGTACTTTTCTTAATTAAATAGTTCTTTTGTATTCATGATGACTGATGCGCAAAATTTTCTTTTTTTTAATTTTAGCAATATTTGACATTCGAGAAAAGAATATAAATGAGTAAGCAGTACATTTCTATGTCATGTTATATGTTTTTCTTTTAATACATATTTATAAAAAAAACAAAAGTATCAAAATATATTATCCATAATAAATTGATATTAATTGTCAAGAGAGAAAAACCCGTTTATTGATATATCATTAGAATAATTTCCGATGAAAGTTTTGCGTTCATTTTGATATATACATATCAATTGAATTCTAAACAGTTAAATGTATAGTTACTGTGATGTGTCAATAAAAACACAAGACAGCTATTAATTATAATTAAGATACCTCATTATCATCCGTAAGCTTAATTTAGATCGTACGCTGAATAAAGATAGAATCACAAAAATTTATTGTTATCATAGACATGCATGTATATATGTATACATCTTGACATGAAGATATAGAGAATATATTTCATCGTATCAAGATTTTTAAATAACATGACGTTACGCTCGTAAAATCTTTTCATTTTAACTTAAGAGTCTTAATATTCTATGTATATGAATATATTTCCTTCGAAAGAATAGAATTTTTTCTAAAGATATTTTGGTAATAGATATTAAGTAGAGATTCCAATTCTGATATGCTTATCCTGACCTCTTTGATATAAGTATGGCAAAAATGTTGCCTTTGACTTTATGTAAGTATGTGTACGATAGTAGACCTTCGTTGATGACAACCATCTATTGAACAATGCATTCGAATGTGACAGATAACGATCATTTGATGATCATCATCATTTAAACGTCATACACTATATCTCGATTTACAATCATAATATTTTTTTTTTCTCTTTCATATATTTTAGTTATAAAATGTAATCATTATTTTTTAAATGTAAAACGAATAAGAATGAACAGTACAATACTATCAACAAATACATCAGATTTTACATCTAATAATCGTTTTGTTCAAATAGCTTCACGTAGTGAAGAATTTATTTTACCATGTTTATTATTAATTGGTACTACTTGTAATACGTTAACATTTGTTGTTATGAGACGAGGTCGTATGCGACATTCATCATCATGTTTCTATATGGCTGCATTGGCTATTGCTGATACATTCGTACTTTGGATTGGTTGTCTTAATCGTTGGTTAGAATTATTAGACAAACAAAGACCAATTTTAGCTTGTAATATGTGCTGTAAATTAGGCACATTTGCATTTTTCTTTTTTGCTGATTGTAGGTAAGCAATAATAATATGTTTAATTATATTTTATATATATATATTTTTTCTTTTTTTAATATCTTTAAAAGATAAATGTCATAATGTCTTTAAAGTTTGCTGCCATCAAAATCTTAATAAAAAATCATAATTCTTCTTTTCTTTTCTTTTCTCTGTGTAACAGTCACTCAGATAATTGAATAGTTAGTCTTTATATTGAAAATACAAGACTAGTAAACTGATATATATTTTAAATAAACATAATAATATACATCTGTTTGATTGTCATGATTATCAAAACATGATTTTATCTTGTTGTTATTTTTGTATGAATAATACAATGTATCAGATAACGGTTATTATGTGTCATAAGTTTTGTTTGCCTCAAAACAAAAGATTGAATGACATTAATGAGAAGAGAACTAACCGAATTATAACTCATCGTTGATTCTAGAAGGAGAGTCTCGATAAGAGTAGAAAAATTTTCAAAGAGTTCATATCCATGAGCTTCTGGAGTCAAGTTACGACTACTTTACTGAATTTTCGATTCATTTTTAGATATTTACTGAAAAATTCAGTAAAACGGTCATTACTTGGCCACAGAGGTTCATAAGACTCAACTTATTTCTAACTTATTAATGAATTACAAAAAAAAAAAAAAAAATTTTTTTTTCTAGTGTCTGGATAACAGTTGCAATGACATTCGAACGATATATAGCTGTTTCTCAACCTTTACGTGCTAGTCAAATTTGTACAGTAAAACGTGCACGCTATATGTTATTACTTGTATTTACAATATTTTTCTTAATAAATGCACATTTTTTATGGACATTTCATTTATCTTCAACTGTATTACATTGTATACCATTAAATGATCAATCATTATTTATAAAATATTTTACATGGATTGATTCATTTAAATATTCATTTTGTCCATTTACACTTTTAATAACACTTAATATATTAATTATAAAAAGTTTATTAAATGCACGTAATACAAATAAATATTTACAACAACAAACAATAAATGAAAATCATATTAATCATAATAAAAAATCTTGTTCAATATCATCTTCATCAACATCAACAACAAATAATAGTTTAAATAAATTAAATAAAAAATCTAAACATAATATTTTACATTCATCTCAACAAGAAAAATATACACTAACAAAAACTTTAGCATATCGACGAGTTAATCGTCGTTTAACAACAATGTTATTAGCTGTATCATTTGCATTTTGTATTTGTTCAATGCCAATATCAATAATGCAATTAATTGATGCTATTTATGGTAATATTGAACAACGTTCATCAACATTAAATGCTCATATTGCAATAGGAAAAATAATAGCTGAAATATCTCAATATATAAATCATTGTACGTTTATAAAGAAAAAAAAAAACAAAAACGAATTAAATTAAATTCTTTTATTTATTCATTCATTCATTCGGTTTTTTTTTTGTTCTTTAGCTTCAAATTTTTTTCTATATGCATGTACTGGTCGAGTTTTTCGTCATGAACTTCGTCGTTTATTTACTTGTCATAATATCTTATTATTTTCTTCATCATCAGAACGTTTAGCAAAACGTGCAAAAAATTTAATGTTAATTCATAATCCATCACAAGGTGTACATGAACATTTTTATTCGAATGGTAAACGTTATACAAGAGTATTAATTGCACCAAAACCAATAATAAATCTAACACAAACTTCTAATTATCGTCAAAGTATTTGTAGTGCTTATTCATTATCAGAAATTCCATTAACAAATCAAAATCAACAAATACGTCAAAATTCAATGATAACTAATGATGAACAAGATGAACATTTTTTAACTTGTTATCATCATCATCAACCGATTGGACCACGTATTAGTTCAATAACACAAACAACATCAATTATGTTACTTGATTCACCATCAACAACAATTAAACATAATTCAACACTTGTTTCCTTTGTTGAAAATATTAAAAATCAACAATATGAACAAACAATACCATTACTTAGTTCAACTAATGAAAAATCAACTTTAGGAAAAACAATTAAACCTTATGGTTTAACTGATATAATAACACCTGGTTTATAATATTAATAGAAAATAGAAAATAGAAAAAAACGAGAAACTATTTTTTATCAATATGATCAAATAATATGGATCATTATGTATAATCAATTTAGAACCCTCTTTTGTTTTTTTTAATTTGTGTATATGCATATATATAAATATATATAAACATCTATGTCAAAAAGTGATCGTCCATTGTGTGCATCATCAATAATATATTAATAAAATAAAAGAGAAATTCATATAAATTCTATACGAAGCTACTAAATTGTCTTTTTGTAACACAAGTAACTTCGATGATAAATCAAAATTAATATTTTTATTAACAATACAAAAAAGAGAACTTTCTCTCAAAAATATATATCTATATATATTTCTTGATAATGATGTATATACAAGTTTGTAATCAATTATTTCTTAAGTAAAAGTGATGCAATGATTTTTCCAACTATCAAAAATGGTTTTGTTAATCGATCTATTTCTGATCAAGATGTTGATAGAACTGTTTCAGTTTTAAAAATTGTCAAGTATTCTAGACGTATATCATAAGAAAGTGAAAGTTTTATGTCGAATGATCTCATTATAAAGTTTAATATTTATTTCTAAATCATGTTTGATAACATATAATTTGATATGGTTTAAGAGTGTCGAAGAATGATTGAAGTACTTTTCACTAGGATAAATTTTCATTGCGATTACTTTTTTATTATGTAAAATACTTTATCAAAAGTTGAGATAACCAATTGAAACCATGGTAGATTATTCAAAAAGGTTTCTCTCGGTTTGATTGCATATATTATAAAAAGATTAAGTGACAAGAGTAAGATAATTTATGTAAAAAAAACAAAACTTTCATTATATCTGTCATGCATTTCCACTGGTTTTTTTCACACATTACCTGTTACTATCGAGACTATCAGATTATCAATAAACATATAAATCAGACAGACAGTTTGATAATATTAAATCAAAAGATTTATTTCTAAAATCATATTGTTACATTATTCTTCTTTTTCATAGTGCGAAAAGAATATTTTTATCAGATTCCAAAATACGGGCAAGAAGAAAATAATAAGGATATTTTATACAGAAAACGATGTCAACTAGACTGAGTATCATTAGTAAGAAAACATTATGTAATTTTTTTCTCTTTTGTAATAAATTATTTTTAATGAATTTAGTTGTGTTGACAATTGTTCAATTACATTATGCTTTAACACGATCAGCATCAATTAATTCGGGTGATTATCACATACTTAAGATTTTAATGAATCAATCTCGAATAAATGTTTCGTCAAATCAAAATGATATTTTACCTAAATTAAATGATCAATTATTAAATATTGATCAGTGTAAAGAGGGTTAATTTAGTTTCTGAAGCTTTTGAAAATAGAAAACAAAGATTTATTAATTCAATAAATATTTTGTTCTCAATATTTAGATGATTCAAAACAAGCAGCTGTTCGTAATTCGTTGAGTACATTAACATATTTAGTAAAGTATCGAATGAAATCATTAGTAAAAATTTGTAAGGATTTTAAATTTTAAAAGTCTGAACAATATGAAACACAATTTGATTCGACGGCAACTTCTATTGATTTCAAACCAGCTGAGTAAGCTATATTTTCATATTGATTATCATTAATGATTATATTGTTCTTTTTTAAAGTACATCATATTCAAATACTAATTTACCTTTAAATACCATTGATACGTATGTCTTATCGATAATCATATTTTACAAAAATTGATCGCTGTTTTTTTTTCTTTGAATAATACCATTAGTACATCATTAGAAGCTCAGTCAATTGCAGGACAACAGACAATGGCAAAAACAAATTCACCTATTAATATACAAGTAAGAAAACATTGTAATACAACAAAATGAAAAATATTTTCTTGATTAGTCAACCATACCAATATCTACAATAACATCCGTTGAAATGACTAATAGCTATGATACTATAGCTACTACGAATACAACTATTTTATTCAATACGGTAAAATATATATTGAAATTTAATATAAAAATAAAACTAATGTAATCGAATTAGGCAACAACGACAACAATAACAGCAACAACAACAACAGCAGTAACAGCAACAACAACAACAACAACAACAGCAGTAACAGCAACAATAGCAACAACAACAGAAATAACAGCAACAACAACAGAAATAACAGCAACAACAAATTCAAACATTACATTGGACGATCGTCAAACTACTACAGAATCAATAACTAAATGTAAGTTGAATATTCTTGATTGTACTATGCTTAATATCATTGATTCATAGCTAAAAATAATTTACCATTAATTCTTGGTCTTACTCTTGGCTTGGCACTTCCATTATGTTTGGGCATAATTGGTGGTCTTGTCTACTATTACAAAGTATATCGACCAAAACATTCTTCAGTTAGTATCATCAGAACTAACTAGAATATGTTATGCAATATAAACAAGCACATTAATACTATTTTAAAACCATTTTTCTGCTTTTTTTTCATTGATCTTTATTAACACAGACAAAAAAATATTTTATTTATAATGGAATATTCTTTGTTGTTTTCTTTCTTGAGAAAAAATTGATATATTTCTAGAAAATTTTTTCATCGGACTCGTTTGTATAATTTCCGGTAAAAATTATTCTTGATTCAATGGCTAAAACCAGATCAGATTTTCTATATCAGTCTGACGAGGAAACATTTTTCAAGTGCCCATTAGCTTTTGAGTCACGACTTAGTCCATCTTGTAGAGCTTACTGAGTTATTTCTACCATAAAAACAGTTCGCGCCCTTAGCTTGTTTCCGAGGAGATCAAACGTTCTTAGTTTTATAGCTGGGCATTTCCATAAAATTTCAACTACATTATATAAAAAGATCCTTCGATTTCGATGAAACTTTCAGTGTTTGTAGAGCTTTTAATTCTGAGCATTTTTATAAAAAAGTTTTTTCAAAACTCGTTTATTTTGATGGAACTACACTAAAAATACCATCAGCAGAAGAATTCTAAAAACACTCAAGAAATTTTTTTTAAGGATTTTTGGAATTTTGCTGCTAACGGTATTTTTAGTGTAGCGCCATCAAAATAAACGAGTTTTGAAAAAACTTTCTTATAAAAATGCTCTGAATTAAAAGCTCTACAAACACTGAAAGTTTCATCGAAATCGAAGAATCTTTTTATACAATTTAGTTGAAATTTTATGAAAATGCCCAGCTATAAAACTAAGAACATTTCATCTCCTCAGCAACAAGCTAGGGACAGGAACTCGTTTTATGACAGATATAACTCATTAAAGTCTATAAGAAGCACTAAGTCGTGACTCAAAAGCGCATGGGGTCTTGAAAATATATTTCCTCGTCAACAGGATTTCACATTAACATTCTTGTAAAGAATTTCACGGCACATCTTTTGAAAAAAGAATCAAAAGGGTGTGGGGTGTGTGGGTGTGGGAGTGTGGGTGTGGGTGTGGGTGTGGGTGTGAGTGTGAGTGGGTGTGGGTAGGGTGGGGGTGGATGTGGGTGTGGCAGCGTTGGAACCTGCCCGGCCGGACCGATTGAAGAAGTCAACATGGCCGGTAGAAACCAGAATTTCACCGGTTGAAAGTTTTCAAAAATCTTCTTTTTTAACCCGGTTTTTGATCATAAAAACTAAGATGTTACATATTTTTTCTGTCAGAATGCGCAAAAAAGTGCTCAAAACATATGTTATATTAATCATTTTTTCTGAGCCTTTCTTTAAAAAGATTCATTATGATGAGTGCCTTTTACACGCGCCTTAAACTATTTCGTATTTGGAGCCGTTTTTTTTCATGAAAATCGGTTTTCAAAAAAAATGCGACCTTTTTCCACCGTTTTTTAACCGGTTGGACATGTGATTCCAATCAGTTGGTTTCCGGCTGGACTGGACCGGTTTACCATTTCTTAATCGGTTCCAAGTCTGGGGTGTGGGTGATTTTGGATGTAAGTGTGAGTGTGGGTATTGCTTAATTGAAAACAAATGACACCCACATCCACATCCACCCCACCCACACTCACCCCACCCACACTCACCTCACCCACACCCACCCCACCCACGCCTACACCCATCCACTCTTGGAAAGCAGGTGTCCGGGAAGCAAATATCCTCCAGGAGCAAGTATCCAGGGAGCAATTGTCATAGAAGAGCAAGTATCCGGGGAGCAAATGTAACGAGAGCAAATGTCGCAAGAGCAACTGTCGCTAGAGAGCAATTGTCGCGGAAGCAACTGTCCGGGGAGCATCATTCGTATTACCTGTATCAGCACTTTGTATCTTCATTTTAAACTCTTAATTATATTTTAAGTATCCATTTTTGCGATATTAATATCTATCTTGCAAGGAAGCATTATACTAGTCAATCTTATAAATTAATTATGAATTAAAAACTACTTTCTCATGGTCTCTAGAATGTCATTTGATTTGACTTCAAGTAAATAGAAAAACAACACATTTTTAGTCATAATACTAACATCGTCTGTGTGAATGATTATCTACGTGAGCGACCAAATGAATATACAATGAAAATAATGTATCTCGAATAAGTCCTTATATATAGAATTATTAAATAGATTCTCAACAAGGTCTTGAGTGTTAGCGAAAACAGTATGAAATGTAATTTGAGAGTACGTTAATAGCATTCTAGATATGTCACGCAATGATTACAAGTCAAAATCGATCAACATCACATGATAAAGATTTTTAATTGTTATCAAAAGAAAAATTCGTTTTTTGAAATAAATTATTATTTTCATAATGAAGAGAAAATTAATACAACAATTCCTAAGTGATGATAAAGGTGCTTTCGCAACTGTTTATTAGTGTTGTGAAAATCTGTTGTGTTGAAAAGAATCGTTTAACACCAGATGAGGAAATATTGTTAAATTCTATATAGATTGAATACGATTTTGCACAAATGTGCAAAACATTAAACTTCGATATCTAAATGATTACTCAATAATCAAATTTCGCTATCTCTTACATTGATATAAATTTAGTTGCCTGCAGTATGTCAAGAGTTTAAGATGAAACTAAATTTTAAGTTTATTCTTCTAGATTACAACTTCATTTAGATTTGGTTATCTCTCTTCTATCAAGAGCTGATCGAGGTCATTTTATGTGAAAAGACATTCAGTAATGACAAATCATTAATGTAAATGGAATAGAATTTCAATATTAGGAAACACACTCTTAAAGTTTTTGCGCCAGCCTTTTAAATAGTATTCAAAATATAGCTCCTGATGTGTGATGCAAGTGTACATTAGATTAAACAAGGTCAAGCGAATGAATTTTGAGATTATCATTTATGAAACTGGTAATAACTTGTTTTAACAGATGTAACATTGTTTTGTCGTTGTCCAATTCCATTTTATGTAGTTCACATAACAGCCATAGAATGGTCCTGGACAAGTCACTAACGGTTCTTTGTCTTGGATCACTCGTCCGATAGCCTTTTGACATACATCTGCTCTTGTGGCTAGTCAGTATGTATAGAGAGCTCAAGCAATTGAGCACAAGAATTCGGCGTCAGACTGGCCTTCTGTCCAGATCTACAGGTAGTATTAGTTGTAGAGAAGATATCGAGCTATTGAATCTGCCACTAAACAGTGTTCCGTACTGCAAGGTAGGAATATTCGTCCTTCTTCCGAATTACGATCTACCGCAGATTTGGGCACAAAAAATCTTTCGATTTACTCTGTATATTTGGGAGGTGGCTAGTCTGGCCGAATATCTCAATTCTTTTTGTATCACACAGTTTTTATAATATATCAGAAGCATATGATTTTTTTATTATCCGTTACAGCTCTGATGATTTGTTATTGTTTCGATTATATATAGCATGTTCGAAAGCAAAATAATCAAGCATTTTCATAAGATGTTTATATACAATATGAATTTTGCATGCAAAAAACTTAGCAATCAGGATATAGGTGTAGGGTAGAATGTGAGTGTGAGCAGACTCTTTATCACACCCTCAGTTGTATATCTTGCTGTTTCAGCTAGCAAAGACGAGTTACAATGAAAAAGTTTGATAAAAGTATATTTTAGCAGGAGATTTTACGAAGACGTCTAATTATTTTGACTTCGAACAAGATATATAATTGAAAACAGTAACAAAGTATCAGTGCTATGACTGGTAAACCAAAAAAACCATATATTTCCAATATATTATAGAAGCTGTACGAAAAAAAAGAATTGAGTTATTCAACCAGGCTAATCGAATACTCCCATTTATATCCAATTAGAAACAATCAATAGTTGATCATATACTTTTTCCTACCTATTTGATTATGTTATAATAGTAATTATATCGCTTCATAAGAGAATCATAATGATATACAATTTTTCTCTCTCCTATTCTCTGATACATACACACACACACAACGCACACAGACAAATAGCAAGACGAGCACAGTGAAAAGAAAAAAGAACGAAGAAAAACAACATAAACAAAACAAAAGAGAGAATTTCGATATTTTTTTTTTTGTTTCTCCTATCATCCTCGTTTTATTCATCAAACATTGATTGATCATCCTGTTGATTTGTTGTTTTTATTTCATCATAAATAACTGTACGTGTTGTTCTTGTTGGTACTGATGGACTATTATTATTATTATTTGATTGTTCAACAATAGGATTTATTGTTGTATTAACAATTTCACTTTTTACTTCTGGTGCAGATAAAGTTATTTCATCAGGTAAATCAGCTAATGTATCATCATCATCAACAACATCATTATCATCATCATGTTCACTTAATTTTCTTTTTTTACTATCTATTGTTTCATCATCATTTATAGTTGTTGTATCATCAAGTAAATCTAATTCACGTTGACAATCTCGTTTAAATTCTTCCATTTCTTTGTCAATTTCAATTTGACTTTCTTGAAGTTTTTTTTCAAATACTTCATCAATTGAACCTTTAGGTAAATAAAAAATATAAGGTTTAGCTTTCGTACGAATAAAATTTCTTAATGGTAAATGAAGTTTTTCATGTGTTGCCATACGTTGCATGATTTCAATTTTAATATTAACTAATTTTAATTTTTGTTGACAAGTTTTTTTCGATGCTAATAATTCTGTACGTTCATGTTGTTTATCTTCACGTTCTTTTGTTTGTTTTTCTTCTAAACGTCGTTCAATTTCTTGTCGTTTTATTCCAAGTGTTTGTTCATTATAAGCATTAGCTTCAGCTTTAAATTTATTTAATGTACCTAATAATACTCCAAACATACGACGATTACGTACAGTTGATTGTTGATCACGATTAACAAGTGATATAAGATCATCTTTAGTTTTTATTATTTTATTTGTTGGTACAATAGATGAATGAAGAGATTTTGATGATGATTCATCAAAAGTGGTGTCTGGTAAAGATGTATTATGTTCATCATATGATGATGATGGTATACGAGAACGTTTTACATTTGATGATGTTGTTTGATGACCATTTGTTGAAAATGTACGTTGATTATTAGTTGATGATGTTGTTATACGAAATTGTGGTGGAACATAGGTTTGTTTTAGACGTGTATCAATATTTTGTAAATTTGTCCATAATTCTTCACGAGCACGACATAAATCATCCGTAGATAAATTTGCTATTGTACTATTCATTATTGATTGTTATTTCTCTGCAATAATAATAAAATGTTTATGAAATGTTGAAATTATTGGTGAATGAATGAATGAATGAACCGATCGGCCATGTTGATTCAACCCGCAAGAGAACGAAGATAAAATAACCAATTACGAAAAAGATATGGATTTATTAGAATTAAAAATGATTTATTTATATAAAATTTAGTATAATGAAAGAAAGAAAAATAAAATTAAAAGATATGAAATACGAAAGAAATAAAACTATATCATGTACTGAACTTTGTTAACTAGTGACATCTATCTTCTTTGTAAAATAGTTTGATTCTTTTATTAAGACTTAAACCTAATATTTCTTCGTTGGACAAGACCTATAAAATGTAATAATTTGCTAACTTTACTGATATAGGTATACATATAATACAAGGTGGCTCATAAAGTTTGAGTATCTCCACAGTATTTCAATCTATGAAATTAATTTTTTTTCCATATGAACTTTATGACCTTATATGTTATAACACGAATCTAAAATTTCGAAACCTCTATAAAAACGAGCATCAACAAGGATAGCCAATGTGCAAACCAAAGTGGCTCTTGCCTTTACTTCATTGTACTTGAGAAAAGACAGATATCTATACCGATGGTGATAGAGAAAGAAAAACAGCCATACATCGCACAACGAAATGTACAATCGAATATATTTGTCGAAAGACGTATGCATGCACACATGGTATTTGTTAAGGGCATCTACAATACAGTGGAAGATAGGAATTCATTATTGAAGCCGATGGTAATACTACAAAGCAAATATTTATTAATGTTGTTATTATGGAAAAAAACTCTAAAATTCTCCTCTGTTATGAAAAAAAAAAGATTAGCCTCACAGAGTAAAGAACGAAATGAAGACTAGTTATTTGATTTTCTATTTTAATTCTAATTAAACCTATTGAGACAAGCATTTAGAGCAAAAGCCGCTCGTTGAAAGACTTCGTTTCTATGACAGAATGTGAAAAAGATAAATCTTCAGAATAAATGGTTTGTTGTAATAAACATTCATAATTCAACTACAATTTTTCTAAGCTTAACATAATTGACAAATTTTAACAATGTGAGAAGATTTATCACATAAATACTGATTAGAGGTTAAAAAAAAACGTAGAACTGGCATCTATTTTAGATAGAAGGAGTTTGTTCATTACGTCTAACTATTGATTAAAACGTTTTCTCAAATCATCATAGTAATCATACTAGAATAAATTATTCTTCATAAAAATCATTCCATTAATAATATAAAAGCAGATTTATAAAATATGAAATGAAAGTATAACTAATAACGTATCAAAAATTCTTTATTTAATTAACTTCATTCGATTATTTTTTCTATTAAAAGTTTTATCGCATATTATGGTATTTATTTCTCTCTGTCGGATATACGTGTAGAATGCATTAGTCACCCAATTATTGCCGTATTTATTATATATGATTGTATTTCTAACAATGAACGACACTTGAAAGGATGTGATTTACTTCGATAAAATGATCATTTAAAAATATCATGTCTTTCATGATAATAACAAACTAAGTGAGAAACTCCATTTATGAAAAAATCGTATTTAGTAATTAATGATATTTAAAAAATTATTGTTACATATTAGATAAACGTAAAGACTAAATTTTGTATCGATCTTTATTTTTGCTTATGGAAAAAACTTATTGTAGATAAATCAACAACATTGAATATTTCACACTCCATTCCAATACATAAAAGTTACGTTTTTTATTTGAATCAGTTTAATTAACTTGCTTGCAATGAAATAGTTTTAGATTAATTGTCCATATAATTGGATGAAAATGTAGGTTGAAATAAGTATGTAATGAAAGAGTATAGAACTGCGACAAAAAACATTTTATTTTTGATTTCAAGGTTTCAACAATTTACAATTGTCATCATTAGGAAATCATCAGAAAACGACAAAGTTAAGCTATATATATATATGCATATAAAACAAGGCATAGAACAGAACAGAACATAATATATTACAATATAAATTTATACATCAAAGCTAACACAATTACAACTTCATGCTACTGTAAATTAATTAATTTACAGTAGCGTAAAGCTGTAATTGTGTTAGCTTTGATGTATGTTCTATGCTTTGATTTGTATACATATATATATAGCTTAACTTTGTTCCGTTCTAATGGTTTCCTGATGATAACAATTGTAAATTGTTGAAAGCTTGAAATCAAAAATAAAATGTTTTTTTTTTGTCGCAGTTCTATACTCTTTCATTACATACTTATTAATTTTCTATTTATGTCATGAAATATATACGTATATATCTCATGAACTACTGTTAATAGCAAATGTCAGTTCTTATTCGTTATTAAAATGTGAAAGTAGATAATTTCTCACGCCTTTTTTTTGACAACTACACGCACAAATAAGAAGACTTTATATTCTTAATGAGTTCGTTTACTAAGAATATCTATTAATACAGATACATAAAAAAAACAAAGACTATCAAACTAGTTTCATTTATATATCCTTCAAAGATATGGCAGACTCAGTGTATTATCAAATAAGTCGATATACTCAACCACCAATGATCATTTTAGGAACATTGGGTGTTATAATCAATCAAATATTATTTTTTTCTCGAAAATCATTACGAGCTACATCATGTTCATTATATTTTCGAGCACTTTCATGTAATGATCTACTTGTACTTTATATTTATGTACTTGTTCAATGGCTTGTTGATCAATATGGATTTGATCCAACAAAAACATCTGATTGGTATTGTAAAACTAAAACATATATACAAACTGGTCTTTATACTTTATCACCATATCTTGTTGTTTTGGCTTGTTTTGATCGTTTATGTACAAGTTCAACAAATGTTCGATTACGACGAATTGCAACAATTCGTATTGCACAATATCTTATTCCTTGTATGGCTATATTTGTTTTTGTTGCTTATCTTCATATTCCTATTTGGTATGTGTTAGTTTCTCAACCAACATTTTCAATTTGTACCATAGTCGATACACTATATGTCCGAGTATATGCTATATTTCTCGTTATATTCTTAGGCTTTATGCCTCCTTTTCTAATGATAGTTTTATGTGTTACTACATTGATTTTTCTTCGTCGACGACGACGTCGAATAATGCCTATTAATCAAGCACGTTTACGTCAACGTGATAATCAGTTATTAAAAATGCTCTTTCTCTATGTAGCATCTCATTTAATATGTACAATTCCATTTAGTATTGTACTGATTATTGCTGTATATCAGTTACCAACACCATCATCTAAAATAACTTCATTATTTCGTTTATTTGTTTTATTATTCAATGTAAATTTTTCAACAAGTTTTTATGTTTATACACTTGGTACTCCATTGTATCGACGTGAATTATATTCTTTGATTAAAGATACTTATAATCGACTTCGTAGAAAGATTCATATGAACAATAATCAACCAAGACTTCAAATGATTGATAATTCATACTTGAAAAGAACATAATACAATAAGTAAACATCTAAACAAACTGTTAAAACATGTTCACTTTTTTTTTTATGTATGTGTATTATTTGCAAAAATAAATTGTTGTAATTCAAATGCACTATGCTCTCTATATCATATTGGTAAAGAAAATTTATAAGAGAATTCAAAGATTCTAGACGATTTTATAAGATGTGCGATATTTGTAATGCTTTAAATGTAGTTCTTATTATGTTAAAAATAAAGTTCGTATTGTAATTAACGATTCTGTTTTTTAATAAAATTTTGTCTATGAGAATGCTATTGCATCATTTTGAAAGTTGTTATTGTATTCTGTTGTTCTTTTTGATGAAAAAAGAATTGAATTGATTTATTCTCTGTTTTAGAAATCAAAAACAATATCATTGTTTTTCATAAATAAGTATTTTTTCAAAAGAGTATAAAGTACACGCTATCTGTATTATTCACTATTATCGACCATTAACACTTATTAGGATGATATGACTGAAATCTGATATTACGATAAAAGGTCATATGAATTAGATTGAATTTAGTAAGAATGTGAAGGAAAAAAAATCTGACGCATTTGGTTACTTTTCATAATGACAAATTAAGAGAAGATTATAAACAAAGTAGATAAACAATAATGAATCATATCTCAACCTGTCTTCATCGATTCTATTAATAGATTTTGATTATTTTTCAAGAAAAATAAAATAATAAATGCAATAACTTATTTAAAACTAAATAATAAATTCTGCTTTATTTGGAATTAAAATTATTGAACATATGAGTGAATTTTTAGAAAGCACTTTAAAAGTTTATTTTTTACATAAAAAAAAAATCATTCATGCAAATTGAATTAGTATAAAAATTGTATATTCTTCTTTTAGCTATTTGAAAGATCTAGCACACACATTGAAAGATGGCGAAAGAAAATTTAATAACAACCTATTTTTGATGTGTATAATGTCAAGTACTTAGTTCGAATCCAAACAGTGATTTTAATAGCTAATGAAGTTTTCTATCTAATGTATTCTATAGCAAAATTTCACAGATGATCTATCATGGGTAAAGTCTCTATAATACAGAACACGATAGTTTTCAGATTCAAGAAGACTTTGTTCGAGGTATTTTTTAATAATACCATTTTAAAGTGCACAAAATTTTAAATAAAATAAGGTGTCACCGCATTTTCTACGACCTTCCCTTGAAAACTTCACAAAAATGAAAAAAAAAGACGTTTTTTAGTCGATTTTTTTCATAAATTTTGCTTTTTATCATACCTTAAATGTTCAAGGAAAGGTCGCAAAAAATGCGACGACACAGGATTTCATTTACAATATTGTACGCTTTAAAATCGCATTGTTAAAAAATACTTCCAACAAAGTCTTCTGAGACCTGAAAACTATTGTTTTTCTATTTTTTAGAGATCTTGTCATCATAGTTTACTTATGAATTCCTGACAATATATATATATATGCGTGTCCCAAGGTTCTATGAAAATGTTCATATAAGTGAAAAAAAAAAGATAGCATTAGTTTCATTTGTGATTAATTATCACTCGAAGAAAAAAACAGGTACATCAGACGCTATTTATTTTTTGAATTCACAATTAGTATTGATCATTTGTTGAAACCATTGATACTATAATCAATTAAATTCTCTTCTTATATTGAAAAATTATTAAGAATAAATTCACATTCATTCTATATTCGAATATTCTCTGCGACTGATCTTCTTGTTCTCTATATATATTTGTACTTCCTCTATGACTTGAAAGTCAACTTAGTATTAATCCATCAGAAATACTTTTATTGATGATTATTTTGTATAGGATTGTATTAATTTATTTTTCGCCGTCAGCGACACTGAGTAATGTCTATAAAGCGAACATGTTTACATTAACGTGATAATCTGTTATCAAAAATGTTCTTTTGTATCTATGTGGCATTAAATGTCATATGTAAAGTTTCACTTACTGTAACATATGTTACGCTTATCTTTCAGCAACCAAGATATACGTACATGACTTAACAAACTGATTTTGTCTGTATATATATATATTCATATAAATAGTTGAGTATCATGAAAATGAATATCATTATTAAGAATAAATCATTCATTTCATGAGAAATGACTTTCTGTTAAAAATGAACCGCAATCATTTATAAGAAAATAGCAATACCTATTTATAATCTTACCACTTTTAGACATCTTTTTGTTTTTATTGTCTTATAACAAAAACATTACATTAATTTACTCTCAGTCTAACGATGCATGTTTTCTTTTTATGATAGAAATATTCTCACAGTATCTTTAGAAAAATTTCTAATATTTTAAGTCGTATAGAGAGTCAATCAGATGTGTTGTTGCATTCAACGAATAACGTTATAGATTTAAATATTTAGATAATAAATCTAGAGTACAAACAAAACAAATTCATTTATCATCTATTATTAATTTTTCTTGAAATATAAATAATATTTATCAAAGAAAAATATCAGTATATCGTAACATACATAAAAAATTACAAACGTATATATTTATACGATGTCGGGGTCTATTGGTATATACTCGATAATACATTCTTCTTGTGATAATACATGTAAAGGTAAAATTCCTGATGAAATTATTATTCTTTTCTCAACATGAATATATTTAATATAATGAAATAATGTTTGCATTTTTGTTTTTATTAAACTTCAAGTAATCTGAAACAAGGATGTGTAAACATGCTTATCATTTTGCGACGCTTATTATTTACTATACCATTGAGTGCAAAATTGAAAGTAACTGAATAGTGAAGTGATAAAGTATTTAGTTCTTAGAAAATAAAACAATGTACTTTCGTAACACACTTTTATTTTAAGTCTTATACATAAGTGTTTTCGTGTGGAAAATTGTTTTTGTTAATTTATTAAAATGTGTCATTGTTTTTTTTCTTTTTGTAATCAATTAAGGATGCTATTCAATCAAATGCTATTATTTTTTTTTAATATTGTTTCAAATAATTTTATACCCTGAATAATATATTCAAGGTACTTGATTTATGAATTTCTTTTATAGATTATTGTATTTGTTTTTAAATAGTTCATAGATTAAATTGTACTGAACTTAAGATATGAGAGAAGAATAATAATTTCTATGCTAGAAAAAAGACATTCATATCTGTCAACTAGAAGAATTAATATTCTCTTTTCAACTAAGTAGACATGACATAAATATGATCTAGATTTTTTACTCTAGGTTTTTAAATGCGTAATATACTCAAAATACTATTAAACTTTCAACTGTGTGCAAGAAAATGTACAAAAGTACATTTTTTATTTTTTCTATATTTTTGGTATCTTTTTAAAAATTGTTATTTATTCATTTTAATATTATCGAAATAAAGTCGTTAGATCAGCTATATTGGTTTCAATGGATGAGTTTGAAAATGTTGATGTTTTTCTGTTGTGTCTTCCAAAAGTGAATCTATCAAATTCTAAATATATCATATTCTTCGTGGCCTATCATTTGACAAACAAAATAACTCAAGCAGATGTATTTATAAAAAACGAATATCTTGCAATGGATCAATTACTCCATCGTATAACTTTTAGATTTTTTTTGTAATAGAAGAATATTAACAAAATTTCTATATAATGATACTAAATAATAAATATTCGCAAGTATCTCATTTTTATTAGCAAAGTTCAGGTGTAGGAATGTAAAAAATTCGAATGAAATTTTCTTTTTTTTGTCGTTCGATTAAATGTAGTTTGATAGAAATCGACTAGCTAGTCACAAATATTTAGTTTACATGTCGATATGATTCCTGGTTAACTGAGACAAACTTTAAAGAATTCAAACGATTAATAAAGTAGTATAAATAATTATGACTTCACTTTTTTCTATAGAAATCATGTGATTTCAATTCTATTTATTCGATACAATTCTTTGAAAAACATTTTATTTTGATTCAACATAGGAAAAATCTTCTTCTATTAGATTTAGAGTTCATCGAGTTAAGAATACTTTGTTTGTTATAGATAATCCTAACGTACGTCATGGTATTTATTGCTACTAAGCCTCTCTCTCTCTCCATTTGTGTAGCAGAGATAAGATCAAGTGTCGTATGTTGTTATAATCGCTCGATTGCAAGCTCTTAACGTATTTATATAGTCGTTAGATTTTGTTTTCTTGCTGACACAACTGACAGTTTTCTGATTATGACACAGGAAAAATGAGAAAACTTATCAAGAAACCAGAAGTTTCTATTATTATAGCTTTACGTTTTAGGGCTATACAAATGCCATTTCCGGAATTAAGAAAAACGTACTATGTTTGATAAAATATATTTTTTATAACAAATGTATCTCTGGAGATCATAAGCAAAACTTGATAAAAAAAAGACATTACTGAAGAACAACACATCTTTCTTTTGTGGGAAAAAATATCTTTCATTACAAAATATTTGGTTAGACGTAGTACGTGTTTGTTAATTCTAAAAATAGCATTTATGTCTCTCTGACATTAAGATATAATAATAGAACCTGCTCACTAAAAGCAATATTTTGATAAGTTTCTTTCTTTTTACTGTGTCATAACTAGAAAAATGTCAATTGTGTTAATAAGAAAACAAAGTCTGAACATTATATGAATATGTTAAAAGCTTACAATCAAACGACTCTAATAACATAAGATTCTTGATCGTATCTCATATTACAAAAGTTGAGATAGACTCACAAAAATACTTAGTGTTGTGGATGTTATGAAGTATGTTGCGTTTATCTATACCAGAGAAAACTTTCTCAACTCGATGAACTTTATGTCTAATCGAATAACATTTCTATTCTCAGTTTTGTACATTCAGTCAGAAAAAAATATTTTCAACGAAATTCTATAAAATCATATTTAATCGAACGAAAAAAGAATTTTTTAATATGCCGGCACCTGACACGGACATTCGTAACGATATGTTATTTATTCAAAGAACAAAAACTAAAAAGAAAATAAAAAAGAATATCCACCCAAAACAGTATCTAGTATTTATAAAAAATTTTCTGCTCGATCAAACATAGCCGTTTGGAGAAAGGAGGGCGAAAATCGAAGTCATTGTGATCCCAATATCGCATAGAAAACAGCATCCGGAAGTTTTGAGTCTATGATAATTTTTTCTGATGAGTCGTTCTTCAGAAATCCCGGAAAAGGGGCAGTATCCTTAACCAAAACACATCACATCTGCTATTTTTTTTCCTTTTTCCTATTTAATTAAAATAGTTTAATTCATCATAAAACTGCAACAAAATGAAATTTAAAATTTTTATTTATGTAATGTGTCATAATTTTTTTTATTAATTATTATTTATTTTTACTCAACAAATCAGTGTTTTATTCAATGAAGAATTCGAAAAGGCATTATCTATCTGAAGATTGGATAGGTTCTTTCTGAGTTTATGATTATTATAACTATGTATCTATGCTCGAAAAAATAGATATTTATCCTTCTGAAGGTTTAAATCACTTTTCCAGAAGTGAAAATCTAAATAAAACATTGTAATAAATGAACTATTCTTTAAATTATTATATAGAGAATTTTCAAAAAGAGTTTTCCTCTTTTGACTTTTCGACTCGTAAATAACTGCAAAATTTGTCATTACACTCAATCATGAATAGTGCACTGAGCATGGCAACATTTACATTTACGATAGGCTGTAATTGTAAATAAAAAAAAATTCACACAAATGTGACTATTGGTTTCATGCAGTTCGCTTATTTGAAATTGTAGGAGTAAATATTTTGAAAAAGAAAATTTCATGTCCGAACAAGTATAAATTTTCGAATAATTTTTTCTTTCTTTATTTATTTCTATAGAATCTCTTCGAAAATTAACAACAATTTTCTAAATCTCTATCTATAATCTCATTTCGAATGAAAAAAATGTGTTTTCAATATAATTAACATTTATTAGAATTCGTAGACTAGTCATTTTTTTTTATTTATAAGCAAAATGGATATTAATGATAGATGAATTGAATGCAACTAATAATAAGTTTCTAAATATAGATTCATTAATATAATAAAATGACAATAATACATGTCATGTAGTTTTACTGTCAAAAATGAACTAGATTACTTTAAATTTTTGCAATATTAGTAGAAAATATATTTGAATATGTTTTATTGTTTATTCTAAATTCATTATTTTTCAATTCAATCCTCGAAGAATATATAAATAATTTTAAGTTTTTATGAAGAATTAGAAAGTGTTGTTTTTCTTTTTTATTACTATTATTATTATCAATATTTATTAAGTTCAGCTACGCAAGGTCATATATAAAATGAAAAGAAAAGAAAAGAAAAAAGTAACTACCATTTACTAGTTTGCAAGACAACATATCAAAAGAAATGGAGATTTGTGAAGAAACAGAAAGAGAAGAAAAAGAAAGAGAAAAATCTGTTATCGACCATGTACCCTTTTCAGTGCATTGCGAGTGCATTTACTGAATTAGACAGGAAGATAAAAAAAAGAAAAACGTCTTGTATCAAAAAAAGAAACAATCATTTTATTAAAACGTTACATGGAAAGTGACCCATTACAAACAACCAACGATGTTACTACATGTCAACTAGTCCATTCACGTGCTTTATGTGCTGTTTGTGGTGCTCTAGCTATTGGTATAATATTTCTGTTTTTGTTATTGTCTTATAATCTTACATGTATTTTTGCCATGGATTCTAGGAAGAAATTTTGATGCAATGACATGTTTATCATGCAAAGGTATTGATATTTAGGCTTCTTTTTTTTATTTTTATTCTTCTTATTTTTGAATATACGTATATATAGTTGTTAAAGAAAAAGAAAAACAAGTTTTTGTTTTGTATTGTATTGTCTTTATTGCTAAACGATATGCTATACTGAATTAGAAAGCTATATATTTAGAAACGACGTAGTATTTTATATGTGTTTTTTTTTTACATATGCCCTTAAAAAATATAGAGTAAAGTAAAGTGCAAAATTGTTCTAAAAATAATTTATAAAAAAAATTGATTATAATTAATTTGGTTTCTTTTAGCATTTTTTCGTCGGAATGCTTATAATGATCATGTAATGTGTTAAAAATATTTATTTTAATTTATTCATAATAAAATCTTATTTATGTATTTCTTTTTAAGCTTATTTTTACATGTCGAATATCAGGTTCATGTGAAATAACATCAACAACAAGACGACATTGTTCAGCTTGTCGTCTTAAAAAATGTTTTCAACAAGGCATGAAAAAAGAACTCATTCGTAGTTTAGTTGCAATTAGTCATGCTTCATCTGCAGCAATAACAAATAGATTACAATATCAATCATTAAGATCAACAACGGTGGTAAGTTAAGTTTCGTCTCTCAAAAATCCATCTTAGATCGGGTGCATTTAAAACACATGCAATTTTCAGGATATATTGGGATTCTAGTGGATAAGCTATGTTAAAATTTTCAACGTTATATCATAATGTTTTCGAGAGATATTCAACAAACAAGGGCGAAAAATAGGTCATTTGGCAATGCAAAATTCTCTGCGAACCTTTATTCTATAAAATTAATTTTTTTTCCTGTTTGAAATTGCATGTCAAAACATTATTTTTTTGAACTCTTACTTTTTATGTGTAGAAAAAAGGTTGACAAGTTCAATACCTTGAAAAATTCTCAAGAAATGGTCATGCATTTATAAAAGTGGTTTTCTATGTAATAATAAAAAAGGGTTCTACTAGACACTGCAACTTCGCATATTCTTTCAAACAACAACAAAAAAACAAAGCAATTGATTACATTAAAGCTTCTCAGACAATTCTGAGATGTGGGATCAAAAATTGTAAACAAAGAAAAAACGAAAACTATTTTCCTATTTTTCTGAGAATAGAAATCATCAAAAATTCTGAGAAAGAAGGCGATGCCAAATTAAAAAGAATATAAAAGATCAAAGCTCAGACTATCTTCCCATGCATTTATCTTTATAACGATTTTTTCTGATGAAAATTGATTTTTTTTTTGAGTGGAAGATCGGAGAGCCTTAATTAATAAAACAAAAAATCTCATTTTAAAGAATCTTTTTATTTATTATTTAGATCGATTTATTATCTGAACATGATCAATTATCTCTTTCATTTGATGATTGGAATTTCTTAACAAATATTCGAACATCTTATGAACAACATTGTATTCAAAAATTTATCGAGTCTCATAAAACAATTCCACTTATACCACCTAAACAACCATATCGATCACGTCTTAAATTACAACGTATAGTTGATCTTAAATATAAATATACTTTTATTATTGCTTCATTTATTAAACATATTCTTCAACTTGGTATACTTCAATTATCATTAGAAAATCATTATCATTATATTAAAGATAATTTTTCATGTTTAGCATCAGTAAATGCAAGTGAATTAATGAAATTAAAAATATTAGAAAATTTTCCATGGGAATATGATCAATTAGTAATTGAATCTGTTTTTTCTGAAGTAATTATTTATCGTTTGGAAAAAATTTTAAATACATTTCAAACACTTTCACCAAATGATCCACTTATAATGAAACAATTTGTTATTGTACTTGCATTATCATCACGAATATCACCATTAATTGTAAAAAAACAATATAATTCAAATGATTTTGATCCTGTACCAAAAAATCTTCTTTTAAGTCAAAATTATTGTTTAACAATATTATGGAAATATATGATATATCGTTTAGGTTATAATGATGCTATAATATTTTCAGTCAGATTTATACAAAATTTTCTTCATAGACAAATAATTGAAGCTGAAATGATTGAAATAATACAAAATAGAGATGATCATGGACAACTTATTCAACTTATGCAGATGAATATGAATTTCTAGCCATGTTCTTGCGATACAAAGCATGAATATTTTTTCAATAAAAATGAATCTTTATATATATATATGTATATGTGTATAAACAGATTTATTTTTAACGATCTAGGAAAAAAAAGAAAACAAACAAACAAACAAATTTGAAGTTTTTATTGAAAAATTAATATGCTAAAGAATGTAAATATGTTCATACAAAAGACAAGAAAAAAGATAATCAAGAAATTATGTGAAATATATATTTTGTTAGATCGTTATATAAGATAATCAATTACCATATCGAAATAGAAAGTATAATCATCAATTTCTTTAGATTTGAAAGTTATTCCTGTCTTTCTTCATAAAATTTGAAATAGCTTGTATTTTTTATAGAAATAAAAACTTTTGGGAATGTTTTAATATCTAATATAATATTGATTCGAATAGTCATTAGTAAAAATCTATTATATTTTACTCTACACACAAATTAAACGAAAGTAAACAATTGATTATGATTGTTGGAATTATCAATATGAAACTAAAAAATTCAGAATATTCAACTTAAAATTAAAATAATCGACTATGAGATGGAAGACAGAATAATTTAATTTTCCTATCTCATAACAAGATTTATGATGACACTTTCTCTCATTTTGTATTTTTTATGCTTATATACAACCTTGAAAATCTTTTATAGAAAAAAAAATGATATAGAATTCAACAGAAGCGAAAAAAAAATAATAAACTATTGAAGCCTATTATTTTATTTTTGAAATCTCATAGAGTCACTTTGATAGCGAATAAAAATAACTTTGAATTATAGGCGAATAGTGAACCTTTAGTTCTGTTCTGCCCATAATTAATATTTATCATATGTCGATTCATTCGGCCAATCTTATGCTGATCAGATACAGATATAGATATCGTTGTATGTAGTTATACAAGCACTTAATGAAAGTAGTAGATAAATAAAATTGATAACTTAACAAGTAAATCATTTCCGGGAATTAAAATGATATATAAATACAATGCTTCTTCGAATTTAACTCTTTTTAGTAGTATAAAATTTTTATTATTTTATCTAACTCGTATATTTGTATTTAAAAAAGAAACAAGATATACGTCAAATCATTCTCATCAAGTATGACATTTTTAACTAATAATTTTTTGTTCAAATTGACTCAGTAAATCATTTATTAAAAATAGATGATAGCTTATCAAAACACCATCGAACTGTCAATCAAACCACACGGAATAATTTATTTAGAATTTGCTATTTAAAGCCATCTCTCCCTTTCATCAAAAAAACCAATTTCGCGCCAGATACGCACTTCAATCGCCTGAAAATTTTAGAATATGTTGGGGCTATATTAGAGAGATGATGCTAAAAAATTTGAAGATTTATAACATGACCTCTGAGAGAGAGACTTATCAAGCAAAGATCAAAAATCGCTCCTAAAATTCTCTGTCGACCCTCATTTTATACATTTAATCTGTTTTTTCATTTGAAAAAATATGTCTGGATGGACAGTCACGATAGAGTGCTATTTTTGAAATTGTTCTACTCTTTTAAGCGGAGAAAGGGGATGCAAAATTCAATTTCTTAAAAAAAAATGACGTCCTAATTATAAAAGGAGTCTTTTAGATAATAATAGCAATGCATAATTAAAAGAAAAAGGACTTTGTCATGATTTGTATCTTGACATGCTCTTTCAAACAACAAAAATTAAATTTTTATAATGAGCACCCAGACAAAATTGCGTGTGTCACGATCCAAAAAAACGGAAAATATTTGCTGCTTTTTCTGAAAACAACGTGTTTTTTCAAGCAGATGATAACAGAAATCATTTAAAATTCTGAAGAGACATCGAATAAAAGATTCATGTCATCTATGAAAGATCGGACATCGGGCTATCTTACCATGCATTTAATCTTAATTTCATTTTAGAAGAGTGACCTTTAGCCATAGTTTTTCAGTTATTTTAAATCATAATGACTCGATGTTTTTTTTTCATCATGTTTTACGTTCATTATCATTTTTGTTTAAAAAACAAGATTTCACATTAAATAGATAATAATATTAGATAAAATGTTAGTCATCCACTCAGCCATTATTCAAAGTAAGAAGATCTCAATCTATTTCTATAGAATAATTCTATACATAACAACAAAGATTAATCCATCAGTAACTGATCTATATAGCAAGGATAATTTGAACTTAAATGGGTCCCCCCAAAAATGCATTTTTTTTCGAGCATCCAATCTTGATGAAATTTTCAGTGGAAGTACATCTCGAGCTAAACATCTCACAGTAAAAATTTCAGCTCGAACATTGAGTCTACGAAGAGTTAACTTAAGATTATGAATTAAAATTTAGATTTCCATGCATCTCAAATTTCTCCACCATTTCAAATGCTGGAAAGGTCGAACTGATTTTAAAATGTAATCAAGATGTGGTGCTACAACTTAACAGTCTGAATTTTTGATTTTCTCTTAGCTTGTGTTTTTATAAAACTTCTTTGATGAACTATGAAAAATCCAAGGGGGTATAGATCCAGAACAGTTAGTTTTCCATGAACATTAATGAAGAAATCGAAAAATTCGGCTCTGTTAAGTTGTAGAGCTAATTTTTGTTTTCATCTTGACGCCAAGCCCAACTTTTTAACGTTTAAAATGGCGGAGAAATCTAGGAACGCACGAAAATGTCAAAATCAAAAATCCTATTTTGAGAAAAAAACATTATTTTCTTCTGCGGAAGTTTCAGAAAAACCTATGTAATATTCTTAAATCTCATTACAAACTCAATAAACTATAGTGTATGCGAAATTAGACACTTTGCTCTATCTAACAAGTTAGAAATCACAAAATTAACTTTTTTGGAAGTGAGGTCCCTCAACAGAAACAAAGTATTCATCGAAGATGAAAAAGAATAGTAACAATGTTGTATTTCACAGGACAAAAGAAATCTACCAGAGTGAATGAGGGAAAATCATCAGACTGAACTGTCATCACATCACAGAAGTAAAATATTAGGTTAGAATCATAGAGTGTTGTCCTATGTTTCGAAACAGAAATTGACTGATATTTTCTAGTATAATGGTAGTATAAATGGTCGGATAACAGGTGTATTGTTTGAATGCAATAAAGGATTCATTTTGTGCTTCATTCGACGGTTATATCATCCCGTTGTTAATCGAATATGATTCATAATATTAGACTCTAACATATTATTGAATATTTGTTTAATAAACCGTTAAATAAGAAAAAAAAATACGTGTGACTTTTTTGATCTATTGCTCTCTTTACGTTGATCACAGTGCATAATAGACAAGGCACTTTTATTTGAAATTCATTTCTATTATATATGCAAAATGAATAAATAAAATCCTTGTTCTTATTGTTCTTTATCTATGTGTAGCAGCATGGCACCAGCTGTATCTATTCATTTTTAACTTAATTTTGTTGTGAAAAAGTATTCTATCATCCATTTTCTTTCTAACTATGATAAGTAAAAATTACTTCGTCATCATTTTTATTTATTCAATAAGTTTCTTATATTTAATTAAATGTCAAATAACAAATGAATATGATCGAATATTATCAAATGAACTTGATCATATTTCTATAAAATATATGCCATCAATACTTCATAATAATAATATTTATTTAACTATTTTATATAAATGCTCATCATTAACACAACGTCGTATATCATTATCTATATATATTGAAAGAACATTATATCGAACAAATGTCCCTGTTTTTCGTCGTTATTGGCTTTGTCATCGATCAACTCGTATTAAAACTCGTTATATACGTGTACATTTACATCGTTCAATAGCATATGCTTCAGATTTAACATCAAATTTACAATCATGGCCTATTGAACAAGGTCGATTAAAACTTATAATGTATAAAAATAGACTAGCAAATGAAAATGAAATTTTGAAAAAACTTGAGTATAATGTAAGATTTTTACCAGTACATAAACGACCAAGTTATTATTCATTTCGATGGAATCCTTTTATAAATAAAACAATTAACAGTATTTGTCTTAAGGAACCTGGTGAGATTTGTGAAGTAAATATATCAAATCGAATAAATATTGTTTTTTTTTTGTCTTTGAATAGAAGTAGTACGAATTATAAATTATCCATTGGTACTTACAGGTAGTACTTATGGAAAACATGTTGTTCTTCCAGCTTATCAAGATTATAGTCTTCGATTAGAACAACAAATTCAATTAACACGACCAAAGTAAAATTAGATTTATTTATTAATTAATAATAATAATATTTATATTAAAATTAATATAGATTTTCAATTATATTTTGGTTATATATTGATGAATATTGTTCTGATAGATCAACTGCAATTCATTGTTCTATTTTACAACATTTAACATTTAATAATACACGTTTAACTCCAGAAATTTTTCTTAATCGAAAAGGTTATTTTTATTTTTGTTTTTGTTCAATATGAAACAATTTAATTATTTAACTATTCTTTTATTTTAAGGTCAAATTATAGTAAATGTCTTTGAATATTTACATGATCTAAAAGGAATAGGAGCACAAACTGTTGCTTCAATACCAAAAAAAGATTGGTGTCGAATAGCTTTGATTATTAAAGAATATCATGTAAATATAATCTTCAATTATAATTTTCTTATTATTTTATTCTATATTATAGTGGAATATTTATATAAATTGTCTTCAAACATGGGATAAACCTATCAAAGCTAACCACTAGTAATATTTTAGTTTTTTTTTTTATTTTGAAATTAATTAAAAAATTATCTATTTAAGTTCTCCTAATTATTATTATTTTAATGATGAATTTGGAACATTTATTGTTGGTGGTAGTGATATTACACCGTCATTTCGAGGATTTATTAGTCAAATCGATATATATCGACGAATAGCTCTTACTTATGAACAAGTTCGATTTATTTATTTATTTTAATATTGTATTGATATTATTTTAATTTATTTATTATAGTTACCAAAAAGACTTGATATATCATTTATGCCATATTTACCATCTATAATTCAAAAATCAAATGAATGTAAACGTCATTTAGATTCATTTAGACAATGTTATGAACAATTTGAACTTTTTAATAAACGTATTCAACAAAAATGTAGGTTTTTTTTATTATATCTATATATAGTATTTTGTTTTTAATATCATATCTTTTAAATCAATTAATAGTTACATGTAATGCTCAACCATTTCTATTAAATAAATCTAATCGACAATGTCTTCTTATTCGTACATGGAAACAACAATTATCATTATCATCATCATCTACGGATATTCGTTATCGAATTTTTCGAGCTTTACGACGACGAAAAATGAATTCTACAATGGATGTAGCTAATAAACTTTTTGATTTAACAATAAAACTTCTTGTAAGTGATAATTTATACATAATTTAACCAAATAAAACTCATATATATAGGAAAATGATGATCATGATTTATCGTGTAATCGTATTATTGCTTGGTCTAAACAAGCTATATGTTATGGACATTCATCAGCACATTCATTTCTTGCTACACTTTATCGATTTGGTCTTTGTGGTCTTAAATCTAATACAACACGAGTATGTTTATATTTAATTTACATAGTATTTTCAAGTAAATAATCAATAATATATTGTTGTACTTGAGGTTTAAGTGATTGATATTGTTGTTGAGATTTTGTTTCATTCATTGGTTCAATTATATTCGAAAAATTTATTAATCTTTCAATAACATGTTCAAGTAATTGATCTTGTAAAAATTCTCGTAATAAAATAAGATCAATTATAAATGAAACTAATGTTAAAATTCCCATTATATAAATACATATAGCAAATATTTGAGCTTTATATACTGATTCTAAACGAAATTTATATAAACAAGATGATTCATATGCTATACCATTATCATTAAAACATGATGGTGGAATAGGTATATGTAATTTAGCAAAATCAGATGTACCCATAAGACCACAACAATGAAGACGTTTATGAACACGATCTAATATACTATCAAATGTAATATTTATTATTGAAGAAAAGTTTCCATAATAATAAAGATCATTATATGATAATGATTTATTATGTATAGGTTGATATGAATATGTTAATAGTGCATAATCATAATGAGCCTAAATAAAAATGATAGAGAAATTTTTTTTTCTTTTTATTAAATATTTGACTTTAAAAAATAATGAAGCTGGTGCACCAATTTGTTTTTCATCAAAAAATATAGCTGAAGCAATAAGTAATGAACTTGAATGTATAAGTAAAAGAAGTAATCCATGAATAATAAGAAAAATTTTTGATTCAAAATAAACAGCATTAATACCATATAAAGATATGAATATAATTAATATTGAACCACTAATACAAATTGATATAAGAAAATAAAAATCATGAATAATAATAGATTTTTCTGGTGCATATTTTTCATGATTATTTATTGTTATTCGTTGTATTGTAAGAATAGATAAAACGAATACAGTAATAGCAAGAATTATAGTTAATATACTCAATATATAGAATAAAAGTTTAGTTAAATTAAAAATAAAACGATCCATTGTTTTGTTTTGTTTTTTAATCTAAATAAATAGGCGCTTGAATTATTACTTGCGGGTGCATTACATAATGATCGTATTAGTTTACTTGCACTTGGACATCGACATTTTTATGGTCTTGATAATGTTTCACTTGATTATGATATGGCATATGGTTTGTTTTTTAATTTTTTTTTCTCAAATATTAATATTAAATTTTTGTTTACTTTTTAGTTTATTATCAACAAATGGCTGAAATATCTAGACGTGAACTCTATAATCCAAAAGCAGGCGAAGTTAGTTAAATGATAAATTTTGTGAAACACGATCTAAAAGAAATGTTGAAGTATAGGAGTATAAATTTGGACTTCCTCACTAGAGCCCATCGGGTCCTACCCGAACCCGATGAGTTCTACTCACAAAAGATCAATCAATTAGGTCAGAACCCAACAATTTTGATCGGTCTGGTCCTGTTCCGGGTTCAAAAAAATTTTATTGGCCGGGTCTGGGTTCAGAAATTCTTGGACCCGTTAAGCTCTATTTCTGACTCACGCAGTGCGAAGCTTGAAATGCAAATTTTTAGAGCTTGGAAAGAGTGTTCTATTGCACAGAAATGATCTTACATCAATCAGAAAATCATGTTAAAGAAGAAAAGGTTTTTTTTAACACAAATTTTGTGAGAAATTGGTTTTTTTAAAACTCTTTGGAGCTTTAGAATCAGATTTTCGAACAAAAAACTGAGGTTTAGCAGAAACCTTTAAAATTGCTTCGAAAAATATTTCCCTAGTTGACGCTTTTAGGATCATTAGGATGACTATGCCGGAGTATCTGGTGAAAATTCGAGCTTAATGAGAAGTATTCCCTTTGTAGGATTTACAAGATTCGCAGCAGTAGATTGTTGAACCAGGTTCTGCATTCAAAATAAATCGAAAGTTTCTTTAAAAGCTATCATATATACATATATGGTTCGATGCAATTTGACAAGCTAATTCTGCATATTGCATTAGTTTCTCTTCAAATTGTGATACAAATGTCTAGACATGGACTTCTAGATAGAGATCTCGAGTTTTTATGAATTTGCAAAATAGTCTAGGAACGGTTCCATGGGTTGGCACTACTACTATCACTAACATATATAAGTAGAAACATTGGATAAAAATTTCAGTTTGACCAGAAGTTATTCCTTTGTAGAGTTTACAATATACGGAATGGCAGGTTTTCGAGACAGAAATCCTCTGTTTTCTATTATGTTTTAAATAGCATTAAGACTAGTGCCTTTTTATGTTCGGTGGTGTAATATTGCCGAGTAGCTTGATTTTCTTTGTTTAAATGAATTTATAAGTTACAGCCTTAGTATACTCAATTCTGAGATTCTATACAACTTTGAAAAGTGCTTTTTTTCTAGAAGATAATAGATCACATATATAATTGTTTATTCAAACGATTAGATTCTAGAAATGAATATATTTTTATATGTCCACCTGGTTTCCCACAGACCATATGTTAATATTTAATATATGAACTGCTTTCTTATGCTAACAGCTTTTTTTTATTAATTAACAAAAAATACTAATCTAGGTAGCCATGGAACATATACGTCTTACTGATAAGAAACTTCTTGATGAACTTACATTTGATAAAAGTGATTCATTCTATTGGCTTAAACAACAGGCAAGACGTGGTGTTGCATCAGCTCAAGTAATATTATTTTATTTGTTTGTTTTTTTAGAAATAAAAAAAAAGTCGTCTAAATTTTTATTTAGCATCATTTAGGTGCATTAATGTATGCTGGTCGAAATGGTTTAACACGCAATATTCAAGCTGCTGTGGAATATTTTCGTTTAGGTGCTGCTCAACATGATGCCTCATCACATTTTGGTTATGGATTAGCTCTTCTTAAAGTAAATTTTCACTCTCTTCTTTTTTTCTTCTTCTATAATTCTTATATGAAATATGTCTAGGGACAAGGTACAAAACAAAATGTAACTGAAGCTGTTCGACAAATTGAAAAAGCTGTTGAACATGGTTTTCTTGGTGCAAAAGTTGCTTTAGGTTTTCTATCAAAAAAACAAAAACATTCATTGAAATTTTATTCTATTTCATTTTATTAAGGATATCATGCATATGAAATAGAAAAGAATTATACAAAAGCTGCACAATATTGGAAAGAATGTTTTGAACAAACACATGATGCTAATTGTGCTCATAATCTTGTTAGTTTTTATTTAATTCTATTTTTTTTTTCTTATATTGAAATAAATTAAATCTTATTTTAGGGTGTTATGTGGACAGCAGGTCGTTATCCACCAAATTTTGTCATAGATCATGTACAAGCTTGGCAATATTATTCATTTGCTGCAAAACATGAACAAATTGATTCAAAAGTTGTTGTAGCTTATTATAATGCTCGTGGTGGTCATCCTGTTATTATTCGAAATCCTTGGCTTGCTGCTATGTAAGTTAGTTTTAAATATGTTAATAGATATATTAAATAATATTTATTTAGTTGGTCACGTAATGTTGCTGAAGAAAGTTCAGCAATAGGTACAATTGTTCGACGAGCACTTGAAGCTTATCGTGATCAACGATGGTATAAAATATATGAATGTTTTTTGTTTTTTGTTTTTGAAAATCTATTGATTTGCCTATTCATAGGTATGCATCATTTATATTTTATATGCAAGCTGCATTAGCTGGTGTTGAACTTGGATATTTTAATGCTGGTTTTTTATGTAATGAATTAAAAGAATTAAATAATGAAGGTACATTTGATTGTATCGAACAATTACTTAATAAATATTTAATGATACATGGTCATAATAGAAATATTGATTCTTATGCTTTATTAAATGTTGCTGAATATTATCAATGGAAAAAAAGAAATATTACAAAAGCTATACAACTTTATGTTCAATTATATCAAAATGGTGATGCTCACGTATAAGAAATTCGATTTCAATATATGATAAAAATATTCATTAGTTTTTTTCTTTTTTGGAATATTATATTTAGGGTTTATATAATTTAGCTCAAATAGAAGAAGAAGAATCTCATTTGAATAATACAATTGATTTGAAAATTTGGACTCAAGTTGGTATTAGATTTGATGAAAAAATTGTAACAAATCGATATCGACGATTACAATATGTTTATCAATAGTATGATTAATTCTATATTAGATTTGTTTTTACCAGATATGCCCGACAGAGAACGAACTCGAATCAGTAAAATTCGGTTCGATTCGGCCTATGATACCTATAATAGAAAACAAACTTATAGTACAAATATCTTTTTTTTTCTGAACATTTGTGTTTTGCTATTCAACTTTTTTCTAGTAAAACAGATTAGAAACTCTTCTTTCGAAGATCGCATTTCAATGAACATAAAAAGAAGCGCTAACTCGATTACATTTACATTGCATTCAAAAACTAGTTTTCTCTCATTGTTAATTTCCGAATGTAAATCTCATTAGAAAAAAATGTTGAGTCTACCCGAGAATTAAAACATTCTACCACTTATGATACTATTATCTAGAGATATGCAGAATAAGTTTTTGTCATATCTTGTATCCTAACTAAGACAAATTTTCTAACCTGTCCTCTATCCTTATCGTGTAGGGTAACCTTACACATCCATTGTTGAATTTACTCTTGTAAGATAATTGAAATGAATTGTTTTTCGAAGACATTCGTTTTTCTTTTATTTTAGTTGTCGAAAATTAAAAACAGCAAAATCTGATGAATCTTATATTCCTTGTACATTAGCTTATTTAAGGACTTCAACAATAATTTTATTTTATGAACAATTGAAGGTATATATTTGTATAATCTATATAAACAAATAATATTTATAATTTCTATTATTTAGATTATTATAACAATAATTTTTATGATACTATCAACATTTGTATTCATATTTCGAACATAAAATTCTTTTTTTTTTCAATATTGAATTGTTTTTCGAATATTTGAAAATAAAAATTAATTTTTCTTTTGTTTATATATGCAATCTATTCATTTTTATTATCTGACATATGAAAATATATATATATATAATTCTATCTATATCTGACTATTTGAGAATTTTTAGACAAGTATAAGATTATCAATTTTAAAGTCAATCGATGCAGCTACACGTCGAACATAATCATTTGAACTTGTACAACGATATTTTGGTTCATTTAAATTAATAATACCAGTTTCATTTGAACTTCCAACAAGTTCAATTAAACGCATTGATGTTAATAAAGATAATTGAGTATATATTTGTGTTGTTAATGGTATTGTATCACCTTGTAATGAACAATAAATAGCTAATAAACGATTAAGTGATATTGATTTATTTGATGATAATGGTAAATATTCAATTTTTGATGATTCAAGTTGTGTTCGTTTATGCATTATTTTAGCTCGACGACTTTTTTTACCTTGATTTTGTTTATCATATAACATACGATCATATTTTATTGGATTTTGTGTTGCTAAATAAATAGCAATTAAAAGAAATTTTGCTGATAATGGAAGATCACGTGTATTATTCTTATTATTAATAGTAGATATATGAGATGATTTATCAGTTGTTTCTTCATCAGCTGTATGTGTATCAAGAAATTTTGGAATACTCATTGAACGTGTATAAACAGAATTAAGAACCTATAAATGAAGAATAAATTTTTTGAAAAAAGAAAATATTATCAAATTCAAATATATGAATATATGCTTTAAATTTCTAATGATTAAGAAAATTTTTCTAATGTTTTATAATCTTGAAGTTATCTATTTCTCTTTTGCAAATTTCTAATTCAAAATTTTAACATTGTTTTGTCAAAGTTAGATGGTTTTGTATAACGTCGACTCATTTTATTTTACACCTTGAAAGTGGAATTACAAGTCTTGACTCATTCTATTTCATAGAAGTTTTCATACTAATAAATCTTCTCGCAAAATGACAGTAAATCGTACTTTTCAAAATGAAACAGAATGATTTATACCAATTGATTCGTTGAGATATAATTAGTTCATCATTTTATTTTTAATGATTAAAATATTAATGGTTATGAACTATAGAAATCAATTTATAATCATTTTGAAGAGTGCGTTTTACTGTACTTTTTCTCTATAAAAACATTTCAATAAAATGAGCCAGAATTTCTAGTGCATCTTTCAAAATATTTAATCTATTGTTATAATTGCTTGAATAGTTTTTGATTTGACTCATTCTGAAAACTTTTCGATATGAATCTTCAAAATAAGAAAATAAAATCAAGTCTTTTGTTTTTCAAATACCTGCATAAAAAATTCTTTTTGATAAAGTATTCGATAATCATGATTAGTTCCATCATCATTAATCTGTTTTTTTGTATTACTACGTAAAAAATCTTTAATACACATTGTTATCATATCTTTTAATTCGATAAGATCATTTGTAACAATATAAAAACTTTGAAGTGCTAATTCAATTATAATTTGTAATTGACTAATAGAAGATGGAAGAATATCTTGTTGTTCTAAAACAAACAAAAAAATATTAAAAAAAATTCTCTTCTTATAAAATATGTTACCGAAGTTCTGAAACAAGTTTAAAATTTATCTACTTAATATTAAGTAAATACAAAATTTCTGGTCTTTTAGTTTTTACTATGCATGAGAAACTAACGATACTATCATATACTATTTTATCAATATTCTAATAATTTTAATTGATGAAGTTTTCAATGAATGAATGGTTCGAGTTCGTCAAAACACAAACAGTAGTGATCGTCGTAAGAAAATGTATATTACTGATAATAGACATGTGGAATTTACTCGAACTACTCTAGCAGAAAAAGCAGGTAAGCGATTTGTTGATAGGTGAAAAAAAGTAATTTAGAACCGAAAAAAAAGAACGAAGAACATCTCTGCCTTTCAACTACCTTACAGTGTGAGATGCTGGCTCTAGTGATAAATTGAAAAACCTGATAGCTTGCCTACAACCATGACTAGTTATAGGTCTGGACAGAAGATCGGCCTGACACAGAGTTATTATAGGAATGGAAGAATTTAGTGTTTCTCTAGATAATGGATAAAATAGATGAACATTGATAACTTTCTCTGTCTTTTATTGTATTTCGAAAATTTGTTTTTAATTTAAAACTATTAACCGAGAAAATCTGTAAAATAGTATATGATAATGTTGTTACGTTTTCTCATGTACAGCTTACTTTTGCTCAAAGCAACAGTGATGAATATTAAAACTCATTTCAGAACTTCAGAGACACAAAAAAAATAATAAAATAATAATTTATACGTGTTAAAATATTTTGTAATATTGTAACAATTTCTGTACGAGTATAAGCCGGTACAAATATAGTTATGGGTGTTAATACACCTAATTCAGCTTCAATTTGATTCATTTGTGGTAATTGATAAAATGGTTGATGACCAATTAATATAAGTGTATGATGAAAATAACCTAATGTTAATTCATTTAATTTAAATAGAAGATAAAGTAAATGTCCTGTTGTATCATAATTTAATAATAATTCAATATGATGAAGTACAACAAAATAATATTGTTTAGTTTTCTTTTTTTTATTATTATTATTATTCATATCTTGAATAGATAAATCACGTAATATTCGAATAAAATCATTGAAATTTTTCATTACTGGAATTATATTATTTGATAATAATGATATAAATGTATGATAGAACATATTTAATGAATATATTTCACGACAATCAAACCATAAAATTGTATGATTATATTTATTAAGTATATATTTAATTATTGTTGATTTTCCTGTATTATTATTTCCATATATATAAACATGTGATGGATAAGGTATAGTAGGATTTGATGAAAAAAGTTTTTCTAATGATGAACAAATTGATAAACGACACGAATAACTATCTGATAATGACAACATCTGAAATTATAGATTATTTATATATATAATTTATTCTTTTAATATTATATTTTTCAAACAAAAAGAAACGGAAAAACATAAGAGATAAGAATAAAAGAGAGAAAATAATAAATTAACAATATCAGAAGAAGAAAAAAATGTATCACAGTAAATCCAACATCATCTGTTACAGTTATTATAAGTGAATAAAAAGATGGGACTTAGCCAAATCATTTATCGTATTTGAGAATTTTGCTTCATCAAATCATCAATCTAAACAAAAAAAAATAGAAGATGTATGTACAAGACAAATAAAGAAAGTAATGGGTTTTCTTTTGAGCACATTGTAATTGGATTAATTGAGCTCGGTCGAGAAAAATCACAATTTGAAATTTTAAGAGTAACTCTGTTATTTTTTTGTGAAGAGGGTACACACGATTCGCCTGAAATTTTTACTACAGATAGTGAACCTAAAATAAGGAGCATGTTTTAAACAAGGCTTTCCAGATTTTTTCGGATTTGGCTGCGATCTGCCTCTAACTTTGTCCGATCAGACTGAAATTTGTTTTTGGAGATACTTTAGACTATATTACAAAGGTGATTTTAAACTTTTTCAAGACTCTCATTTTTTTTATGAGAGAAATATGTAAAGATTCCGATCCGAAATAGGGATATTGGCATTCAGGACTCCTTTGGTTTACATAGGAAAGTTTAAAACAAAAACAGTTGGTTTCACCTATGAAGAACGCTTTCAAGCATCTATTATAAAAATGTTAGTTCGATCGGACAAAGTCACAAGGAGCGAGCATGATGTGGTCCTATGAAAACTCTTGCTTACAATTATTTTCCTCAAATACGTGCCTCCTTATTTTAGATGCTCTATCTATGATGAAAATCTCATGCGGATCAATTCCACCCTCCTCGAAAACCAGAAATTGTCAAACAAGATGGGATGCTCTCGTCAGTTCAACTAATGTTGACTCGATTGATAGTAGTCATGAAAAGTTAACAAATGTTTTTTAAATAAGTTTCGATGTATATCAATTCGAGATCTTGTACTTACGTATATCACTCAAATCTTCATTTACTACATAACAGTCACATATCTATTAAAAATTATAATGTAGATAAATCCAAAAAAAAAAAGCAACAATAATTTATAACTAAGCTCCTTGTTTAAATTGTATCTTGTTTTTTTTTAAGAATAATTTTCATTTGAGTTTATTCAAAAGTTATTTGATTTAAAATGTACGAAAGTTATATGTATTATCTATTTATAATTCTTCGAATATATTTATTTTTTAAATAGATATTGTTTTTAAGAGCGTGTCCATTATTATTTTTCTTGTCTATAAAATTTCAAAAAATATTTTGTTTTTTTATGTTAGATTCGTTAAAAATTGAATAATCAACACACATAAAATGATCAATACAAAAGTTTAGAATTTAAAGAAATTGTTTATATAGTCAAAATTTCAATAATTTATTATCTTTTAATCATGCTATATATATTTATTAATTAATTACTTGTATTTATTCTCTTTGAATACGATCTTATCAAATATGAAATATCTATAATTAATTCTAATTGCTATATATTATCTAAAGAATAAGCTAACCTGAGCTCGATAAAGTGTCTTGACATCTGCTAGATCAAGTCGAAGTTCATCAGCTTCTTCTTGTTTTTCTCCGTACATTGTTAAAAGTGCATCATAACGTTTTTCTAATTCCTATAAAACAAAAATACCTTTTTGTTTTTGTTTTCTTCGTTAATTTCTTAAACATACCTTATATTGTTCATTTAATATTGGATAATTTTGTGTTTGTTGTTGTAATTTTTCATTTATTGTTGATAAATTAACTAATTCACGTGCCATTGATTCTCGTGTACGTTCTAAATCTGCAATTTCACTCTGAAAAAAAACATATAAAATATAATTTTACAAAACAAATATATTTATATATTTATACTTGTAATAATGTTATTTCGCCTTCTTTTTCTTTTAATTGTGATTCTAAACTTTCAAGTACAGCTATAGCACCTGTATTTCTTAAAGTTTCATATACACTTGGTTTTGGTGTTGGAACAAACTAAAATATAAATAAAATATTCAACTTATTGTTTGTTTGGTTTTTGTTTTTTATGTTACTGGAGAACGTTCAAATGAAAATGAAGATGGTGTATCATGTCCACCAGATGAACGTCGACTACGTTGTTGTTGAAGTGTTGATTCAAGATTTGAACTTGAACGACTTATTGATTGTGCATCAAATAAATTATTCTATAAAAACAAAAAAAAGTTTTTATTTAGTTTTCCATTTTATTTACTTGTTCTTTTAATGCATCATGAACAATTTGTAATCGTTTTAAATCACTTTCATATTTGGTTTTTTCAAGTTCAGCATCTAATTCAAATTGTCGCTAGAATACAAAAAAAAAAGTTTAAAATTTACAATTTTTAATTTAAATTTAAACCTTTTCTTGTATAAGACTATTGATTTGTTGAGTAAATGCTTCTTGCATTGTTTCAATTTGATTTTTTTCTCTAGACAATATTTTCATAATCGATTTAGTTGAATTAATATAAAATCAAAGCAAAAAAGTTTAGAAACGAAATATTTCAGACTTTTTTCCTTAATGGTAGTAGCTTGAAAAAATCAGAGAAAATATTTGATTACCTGAAATAATTTCCTGTCAGGACGAGTATTTGTCAAATTATTGTTGATAGGTTTGTATGGAAGGTCTTTGGAAAACCAAGATTAGTTTTCTGGATTTTATTAAAAACGTCTTGGAAACAGATTCATGTAATAGAGAAAACATTTCTGAAGAAAATGAGATGTTCCTAAGCTCTCCATGACCTATCTACAGCGAACAACAATCAATCTACGAAAGGCTCCAAAGTGTATAGCACAGTAAATTCATATTCTTAGGATTGTCGTTCGTTCAAGATAGATCGTGAGAAGCATAGATACGTGTTTTGCCAAGCGTTTTTGAGAATCTTGGTTTTATACAGATCTTTCGCGTAAACCCTTTAATGGAAATTTGACAAATATCTCTTCTGATAGAAAATTGGTTCAGCTAGTAAAATCTTTTCTAAACTCTTTGCCTCGACTTTAGATATATATATATATATATATATCTTTTTTTTGTTACCTTTGTCTAGAATCTTCAAGATTAGTTAATTTCATTCTAAGAATATCAATTTCGGCAGTAAAACGTGTTTTATCTTGTTTTAATGTTGATAACTGAGCTTCAGCTAATTTCCATTTTGCGTTCGTTTCTAATAATGTTTCATTAGCTACACGTTCATGTTCAACACTCATAGCATATTGTGCTTGCATTTCAGCTAAAGAAAAATACGTATAAAAAAAAATGACTAGATCGCAGAGATGTCCATCGAGGCTGAGAATCTGCCGCGTCGCGATAACTTATAAAAAAAAGTTGCCGCAATGAATCGTAATATATACGTGCCGCAGCGGTTTTCAAAAAAGTGTTTTTAATGTCACTGCTGCAACTATATTTGACCAGAGATATTGGTTCTAGTCCATCAGATTCATTCAGTCTCAGAGTGTTTCATTTATAAACCCTGAAATTCTATTAAATCTATGCAGTTTTTCAATGTCCTTCAAAGAATCCTGCTGCTGCCGCGGTGGTTTTTTAAAAAACCTGCCGCTGCCGCTACCGCCACTTCGGCACCGCCGCGATGGATATCTCTACTAGATTATTAATATTATTGCTGATGTACCAAGACGATCAGTTAATTGACGTTCTGTTTTTTCAAGAGAATTTATTTGTGTTACGTATGTTGTTTGGAGATTTTCGATTTGACGAAGAAGTGGACGTGTAGCTAAAGAAAAAACAAAAATAACATATGGTTTTGATTATAAATAAGAAGAAAGTCTACCATTGGAAATATTTTGAGTTAAGTCTTCATTTCTTGATTCAGCTTCTTGAAGTCTCTAAAATGAATTAAAATGATTTTGTTGTTGTTTCAATTTGATTAGAATTTATATGAAATTGATGTTTGATTATTTTAAGAATTTTAGTTACTGTATTTGCTTTGGTTTATATTAGTGTTTTATTCAGCGAGACAGCTGTGTCCCTTCGAAGATAAGATCTGGATAAAATACTGGCTTATACATAAAAGTAATAAGTACTCGAGACTGATAATGGATAAATTTAAACTTAAAAATAATGAGACTTTATTCTTGGGAATTACGACAATTTGCTATTGAAAGATAAAACATATTTGAGATGAATCTTACATGGCTCTTCTTCTCCTATCATTCTTCATAATTAATTTTCAAATTTTTCACAAACCAGATTTTCTAGTATTTCTTTATCACAAGATTTTATTAGAAATTTCTTTATCACAAGATTTTATTAGAAAACTCTCAACAAAAAAAGAAGATCTCATAAACACAAATCTTATGCCTTATCTCAAAAGTGATTTTTTTTTTATTTAATCAAATTTCCTCGTCAATAATCTAATATAGTTAATGAAATATGATCTAATATGAGAAAAAAATAAAATACAAAACATACTTGTCGAAGATCATTAATTTCTTGTCTTAAAACTTGTTCTCTTCGATTAAGTTGAATTTCACTTCGTTGAATAGAATGTCTTAATTCATCAATAGTCATTTGTAATTTTTCTTGTTCTTGTCTTGATATAATACGTTCTTTTTCAACAGCCAAACGAATTTCTTCTTTTAATAATATTTCAGCTGATAATGTTGCTTCAACAACTTTACTTTCTGTTGCTGCTTTTGTTTTATTTAATTCAGCTATTTCTCTATAATATCAAACAAAGAGAAGAATAAAATATATCAGAGAGAAAAACAAAATTATTTGATTTTTACTTATAAGAATTTTCAAGTGCAACTTTTGTACTACGAATTTGTTCTTCAGCATCTTCATATAATGATTTTAATGATATACATTCTTTTTCATAATGTATTGCAGATTTTTCAAGTTTTTTAACGGTTTCTAATAACACACACAAAAAAAAAGAAAACAACATATTAATTTATAGAAAAAATGAAATTTAGTTTTTTTTTATGTACCTTTTAATTGTTTTTCATTTTCTTCTTTTTCTTGTAAATTTTTCTTTGCTTCATCTAATTCATTTGTTAATTTATCACTTCGAGCACTAATATTATTTACATATTAAAATAGAATAACAATGAATATAAATTAACATACTTCAATGATGTTATTTGAGTTTCATGTTCTTTTTCTTTAGTTCGTAATTTTTTTATTATATTTGTATGTTGTAATTGTGTTTTTGATAATTTTTCACCTTCATCAAGTAATTGTTGTATTTGTTCTTCTTTTTCACGTAATACAGTCAATGTATTACCAGATGATGTTGAACTAAATAGAAATTATTCTTGACAAAAAAAAAAAAAAAAAAAAAACAAAAGTTCTAAATACTTTTCAAATAATTGTTTTTGTAATGTATCAAGTTGTTTACGAAGATGATCACGTTCCTTAAATAGAAAAGGTTTTTTTTCCTTTTGTTCTATTTAAATGTCGCTATCTTTTCTTTAATGAAGTTCAAATGGATTCATAATCAGCTGCGAAACTATCAAAGAAATAACTGACTGATGTAGCTTCAGAAAACTTGATTCGTGTTTATCACGAAACTAATAATCGTCTACTTATACAAAAAATTCCTTTGTTCGATTTTTTTTTATATATGATTCTTAAACTTTAATATTCAAACAAATTTTTGTCTAACAATGCGTAGAGTTATTTCCAAATATTGAATATTTTACTTGTGAAACATGTTTTTGTTCTTCAATTTTCATTGAAAGATTTTCAATTGTTTGTTGAAATTCAATAGTTAAACGAGATGTACGTTGTTCTAATTCAGTTAATGATCTATTTACAACAGAGGAAAAAAAAAAGAATATTTAAATAAAAAAATTTTTTGTTTTATTATAATTTACTGTTTCAGTGATTGATTCGTTCGATGTAATTCATTAGATTCATTTGTTAATTTTTTAAAAGCTTGTTCACGTAATTCAAGACGTTCTTTTAATTCACCTAATTCCTATTATTAACCAAAAAAACAACAACAACATTCTACTGTATATTAAACATTATTATAATAATCACAAACTTTCGAAGTTTCCGACATAAAAAACTCTAAATTTATAAAAAATCAAACTTATAAAAACAAAAAAGAAAAAGATTAATTACATACTTTCTTGATTATCATCATTCTCTTCATGTGACTAATTTAAAAAAAATAATAAAGTTGTAAGTATATAAATAAATTATTTTTGTTCTTACATCCTGATAGTGATTCTGTTCAGTAGCTGCTTCATCAATTAAAGTTGACCATGATGGTGTATCAAAATTTGATGTTATATTTTTATCAATATTATCCATTGATAATGGATGATGATGATATTTAAGATTTGTTGAATGTGATGGAAAACGAACAACAACCTAAATGTATTTTTTTTTAACTTCAATAAAATTTAATAAATCTAAATTTATATTCTAACCTCACGTACTACAGCTCGTCGAGCATCACGTAATTCTCGACATTTATCAAATGTATCTGTTGTACTAAGTGGTAAACCACCAGTTACACTTGGACATGATATTACTTCAATATCTGATGATGTACATGATGTATGTTTACCATCATCGGATGATGATCCTTTACTATGCTGAATTGAAATAAAAAAGAAAGATAAATTTTTTTTTGTAAACGTATGAAAAAAACTAACTGTATCATTTCCATTGGATGATGATGCAGTATGAGTTGGTGAATTTGATTGTTCAACATATGGATTAACATCTTCTTCATCGGTTGAAATAGTTTCTAATTGTTGTTCTTTATCATGATTTGTTGTTGAAACAGATGTTGGTGTTAAATCATCATCAATTATTGATGATGTTGAAAAATTATTTGGTGGATATGATGATGTATATAAAAGAGATAATGCATTAGTATCATCTTTATTTTGTAATGATTGTTCAAGATTATTTCTATAAAAAAATAAATTATAAAATAAATTTAATGAAAATAAAGATTGTTCGGAAGAATTTACGCTGTATATGATTGATTTTGCTTTTTAGTAAACCCTCCAAAACAAAAGATCACGACCTTCTAGTTTGGGCTAGATTTTTTTATGAGATTTACCTAGAAAGCTAAGAGCTTCTTGAAAACCTCTTCTGGCATTTTTAGCAAATAAATGTCAAAAGATCGGAACTTTTGCTAACGAGGAAATTTCCTTAGATGCTTCCTTTCTGATTTCAATAAATTTTGCCTAAGATACTACATAGTGTTCTAAAAGAAATTCGATTCCTATTGAGATCTGACTAGACTAGAATTTTTAACATGTCTATTTTCTAGAGACGCTAAGTTTTCTGAAAACTCGTATTTTCGACCTGAAGCTTTATGGATATAGAGAACACAACTAGACGAGTTTTCATTAAAAAATTCTCAAAAATTTAAACAAAGTCTCTTCGAGATACGGACCTTTTTCTACAGAGTGTATACAACATGCATTTTTTTTTGACAACTTCATATCTCACACAGGCTTCGTTTAAAACTTTTGAATTTTTTTATGGAAACTAGTCTAGTTGAGTTCTCTATATGCACAAAGCTTGTGGTCGAAAATACGAGTTTTCTGAAAACATGGAATCTTTAGAAAATAGACATATTATAAAAAATTTGATAGTTTAGTCAAAGATCAATAGGAATACAAATCCACTTATCTCATAAGAAAAACATTATTTCACTAGAAAAAATAGAAATTTTCACTTAAAAAAAGTATTATTTTACTCAAAAATTGGAGGTTTTAGGCGCTAAAATTCGCTGGATTTCCAAAAAAATGTTTTTAGAAAAACCATAATCTATTATTACATCTTTTGGAATTTTATCAGCGACCTTGTAATGAGAGTAACCTTTTATTCTTGACAGGGAAAATTACATTTGTTCTTTTGTAAGAAAATTTGTTTTTATGTCAAAGTGTTTGATTCATTTATTGAATATTTTAAACAACATTCTGCCCGAAGAAATAATAGAAAATTCTGTATCATAATTGAAAAAAAAACCGGTAATTTTTTAATTGACGATAAATGTTCGAATCATTAATTGATCAAATTTTAATAGACTCTCTTCTCATTTAATTATTGTCATGGTTGAATGACTATATGTCATATATTTTAACATCAAATGTCATCATCATTTATATAAGTATTTATTCATAGTGAATTTCTTCTAATTATTATAGATTTTAAATAGAAATATAAAATACATACTCTGTTGTATTATTCTCACGATTATTTATCCAAGAATCAATAACATCACGTTTATCAGATGGTAGTGATTGAATCGTTTCAGATTGTTGTTCATTATTAGATTCTATATTTTCATTTTCATTATTTATAAATATTTGTTTTTCATCTATTATATTTTCAATAATTTGACCAATAATAGTCGATTCAGATGATGGAATATTTAATATTGGTCGTAAGGAATTAGCACTTTCACTACTAGAACTTTCTGTTATAGTTGATGATTCAGTTAATGATGACGATGATGGTACTTGTTCTATACCAACAGATTCTGTTGTTAATGATGATGTTGGTACTTGTTCTATACCAACAGATTCTATTATTAACGATGATGTTGGTACTTGTTCTATACCAACAGATTCTATTATTAATGATGATGTTGGTACTTGTTCTATATCAATAGATTCTGTTATTAATGATGATGTTGGAATATCAATAGATTCTATTATTGGTGTTCTTTCTTCTTCATTTGTAGTCTGTTCGGTTGTTATTAGATCTGACTGTGATTCCGAAGAAATCTAAATTTTAAAGAAGAAAATAAATAAATAAAAAAGAATTTTTTGTTTTTTTTAACCATTTGTGATGTATTGTTCTGATCCGTCCATGAATTCCAATTTGAAAATGAGCTATCTTTTTCTATTTTTATTTCTTCTTCTTCTATATTTGATGTTGACGGTTTTTGATTATTGAGAAATGTCGAAAAAAACTCATCAGTGGTTGTTGTTATCGTCAAAGGAGGAGGAGGATTATTTATTCCAATATTAGTAGCTAAATTATTTTTACTTGTTGGTTGCGGTTCTGCACCAGAAGCAAGGTCCTTAATATCAAGAACTTTGTCTAAATAAATAAAATTTGTATTAGAAAAAAAAGACAACAAAATATAGAAATATAATTCGTTTTTTTTTGAACCTATATGTTTTTGTGCATTTATCAATGTGTTTGCTGCTAATTCTTTAAGTTTATTTGGATCGATACTAAACCAGCCAGACATGATTGTATTCTAGTTTCTACCACTAAAATTTAATAAACAATGTTGTGTATGAGAAAATGACAAGAACAATATATGAATCTGATTGAAAATACTGGACGATATTAGCGACCTTCATTAGAATAGATTGGTTGTGCCACGTCAACCAATAATGTAGTATTACTCTATTTAATTTGTTAAGAAAATAACCATTGAAAAATTTTTGATATGACTCATCATCATTTGTTGAAACAAAAAAAAAAAAGAAATATTTATTCACTTTTTTTATCTTTATCAATTCTACGTTACGAGTATGTTCAAAAGTAGTAAAGATAGCAAACAAAAAAAACGATCTAAAGGAGAAGGTGGTGGAGCAGAACTGATGCAACAAGTAAATATAATTGATGTTGTATAGAGATTTTTCATGCGGTGTAGTTTTATTTTATTATAGTTGGGCTTTCAAATACCAAATTTCGATGAACCGAACATGGATGCTATTGATGATGATGATGATGACGATGATGATCTTGAAGCTGAATTAAAACAAATACAACAAGATGTTGGTGGTCGTACATCAAAACGTTCTAAAGCTGATCCGAAAAAACCAGGTTTGTTTTTTGGATACCTAGAAAATCGTATGGACATAGACATCCATTATTACCTTAGTTTTAGTTGTTAAAAATATTGATACTTAGCGTAATGTTTAATTGTAAAAACAGCTTGTATAAGTAAAAAAATGAAAGCAACCATGAGTATCCGTGCTTCAGATACTTTTCGATTAAGAATATTCAACAGAAAACGAATATTTTGATGAGTATGTTCTTTGCATATCCGATCGAATCTTTTGTATTTGGTATTCACACTAACAAGGAAACGTTCTCAACTGATGAATTACTTTCGAATTCCGACTCAGTACATAAGGTAGACCGCAGTGAGATACAGAAAACCTTAAAATGATACGTCTCCATAGGTCTTCTGTCCAGATTTATAGGTATTTTATTAGAATTTTAGCTTCGAACATGGTAAATACCAACAAATAGAAAGTTCTAGCATCTTTTGTGGAATATGCCTGATATTTTTGGACTTTAATATCTCGAGTAGGAAATATTCTTTTGAATTAAAATTTTCAGGGCATTCTACTAACAAATAGATCTGTCTGTGAGCAAAATCTCAGATTGAAATACCATCATTCAACTTTATGAGTATATATCATCCCAGAAGTTAAAATTCTAATAAAATACCTATAACTCAGAATAGAAGATCTAAGGAAACTTATCATTTTGAGATTTTTCATTTCTCACTGGAGTCTATATTATACATTTAATCCGAATTCAAAATCGATTGATCAGCTGAAAACGTTTCTTTGTAAGTTCCGGATTTTTAGCACTTAGTTTCTTTTATTTTATAAGTACTGAATATTGTAGAAACAATATTTTATTTCATATAGGTAATTCAGCTCCAGATCTTCAATCATTTCATAATGATGTGAATAAACTCTTGAGTGATATTGATCGACCTATAAATGATGATGAATTATCCGACGGTGACGAAGAGGATCTTCTTGTAAGTTTATGCGTAGTGATGTTTTGTTTTTTTTTGTTAAACTTATCAGATTTTACATATACAATAGGCTGAATTACATGACATTGCTGGTGAAATTGAAAATGAAAAACAAAATGAACATATTGAAACCAAACCAGTACAATCAATATCAAATAGCAATACGTTATCAGTACTTGAAACACGTCTAGATATGTATACAAAAGCTGTACAAACAGCTAAAACAAATGGAGATACAGCGAAAGCTCGACGAGTTGATCGACAACTTAAAGTAAATCTATTCTCGTATGAAAGAAGAATTTAATAATGATACTTTTTTTTTTAATGTTTAGCTTATTCAAGAATTACTTCAATCAGCTCGAACTGGTGCTCCAATTAATGAAAATGATATTCCACCTGCACTTTTTGTTTCTACTCCTTCATCATCTCAACCAACAATTATTTCAAAAGAAGTACCTGTTCGAGCTCCTTCTCCTCCACCAGCTACAAACTCTTTATCAATCGATAATAAATCAATTATTTCTCAACGTAATTAGATCTATTTGTCTTATAATCAAACATATAAAATAATCATATTTAGCACAAGCACCAGCACCAGTCGTGACAACTTCTAATAACACTGATGAAGCAGTTGAACGACTTAAATCATTAGCTTTACAAGCAAAAGCAGCTGGTGATATGGCCAAAGCTAAAGAATATCTTATTCAAATGAAAGTAAGTTTTTTTCACATATTCAAATCTTTAATTATTCTTATTGCTTTATAATATATAGAATTTGCAAAAAGGAACAACAGCTGTTCCTGTTCCTGCTCCTCTTCCTCCTCCTTCTTCTGCACATATAGAAACGTCTGATAATATTCCTGAAGATGATAATTCATCTGCATTGATTGTACCATGTATATAACCTATTTTCTTTTTTCTATTTATAATATATATGTTCTAATTGGTAGTAAAAGCACCTGAACCACGTACTGTAATGGAAGCATTACAACAACGACATGAAGAATTAGTCAAACGACAACAAGAAGCTATTAGCCAAGGAGAAAGTTCTAAAGCAAGACGAATGGATCGACTTGTAAAAGTAAATTTTTTGTTTTGTTTATTTAAAAAAAAAATTCATTTCTCTTTCTTTCTTCTAACAGCAATATAAAGAAGCTATTGATGCTACACAGAAAGGTCGTCCATATGATTATAGTGAATTAGCAGATTTACCTGGTTTTGCACCAATTCCTATTCAACAATCTAAACCTTCTCAAGTATCATCATCTGCTATTGGTACTAGTGCAACAGCATCCGTAAAAGTATCACAATCAACAACATCAGTACGACCATCACAAGTTCAACAACAGCGAACAACTGTTCCGACGACTTCTATTCCACAAGTAGAATCAAAAGCTTCAACTAGTTAGTTATCTTCGTATTTTTGTTTTTGTTTATTAAATTATTCTATGTTTAGATACACGGAAAGATCAACAATTACAAACACTTCGTCTTAAACAAGAACAACATGTAAAACTTGCTTTAAAAGCTAAACAACAAGGTATATTTATTCTTTTCTTCTTTTTTTTTCTATTATGATAAATATATCTTTATATTATGTATAGGTGATATAGATGCAGCTAAAAAACATCTTATTGCTTCTAAAGAAATTGAAAAAATGATTGAATCTGGATTACCTATTGATATGAAACTAGTATTAAAGCTTTTTTTCTTTATAATCATTTATATTAAAACGAATCCTATTAAATGTTTATTTGTTTATGTTTTTTTCCCAGGTATCTGAATTATCTAATGAGGATGTTGAAATAATTCATGATGATGAATTAGCAGAAGAACTTCTAGAATCTGATCGTGATACAATATATCGTCGTTTACAAGATGATCTTCTACGACAAATGCAATTATGTGCACGTAATCAACAAATCTATGCACAAATGGAAGGTTCAAATAATATACAACAAGCTAATGAATTTAAAATTCTTGAACAACGTTGTGCACATGATTTAGAACGATTAAGAAAATGTTTTCAAAATGGTTCAAAACCACCATTATTTCATTATGAAAAAAAACAAATGAACATAATACAAGTTAATAACGATTTAACAGATCAAGATCTTGAGGTAAAAAAAACAAAAAGAAAAAACACAAACCTATATAGATTTATATTATTAAATTAATATGATTAATAGTTTAGACGAGAAGAAAATAAGAATTTGTTAAATATCTGTTGCGTTTTTAAGAAAATATGTAAAAAACAAAGAATGTAGACTTTCATAACGTATTTCAGTATTTAAATGTACAAAAATATAAAAAATGCGAGATCATGAAAATACTAAAGCATTCAAAACGATCATATATGATTTAAAACAGAGAACAAGAAGAAAAAAATAATGGAATATTGAACAATAATAATAGGAATATAATTAACGTTCGCCTACTCCTGATCAGAAAACGTGATTTTTATAGAAAATTTACGGAAGTGATGAATATTTGTTTGAATATTTCAGTTATTGATATCGTTTGAAACTTTTCTACAAAGCTCTAATAATGGGGAATTTAGCTATCATGTGTTTGACGTCATACAGTGAATGATCTGAGATAAATGAACATTTTTTTAAATATATATATTTTTTTCTCAAGTTATTTTATAAAAAACATTTCATTTCGAAAGTGAAAACTTACATTGCGTTTTTACTTCTTCATATGTTAAAATGAACCAATAACAACGTACTGTAATAACTTAATGGAATTGGATTTTCCTTTCGACTTCGAAAATAAGAATCTGTGGGAAAATTTTTAAAAAATGTCTTTGTTAAGCTGTAATAGCATGTATTGATTATATTTTGCATAAGTGTGAACTGCTTAAGACGGAACATAATTTTCCAGAAAATTTCAGCAGGATCGATTGTTCTCAAACTAAAATAAGATTTTAACAAGAGAAAAGGATATATCTTGAATGTATTGATGATGAATTATTACTAAATACTATTATTTGATTCATTCCGTTTTTTTTTTTGCAATATCTCTAGAACTTATTAACCTATAGTATTTACAATTCTTTGATAAATGTGCTTAGTTTCTTTTTATTTGTTGAATGGTATTAATAAAATTTCTATTTTAAGATTGCTTTATATATTAGATTAAGTATGAGGTACGTTAGACAAAATAATAATAAAAAAAAAAAGAAACTATTTATTGATATATATATATTCATCTTTGAAATATTTATATGGTAAAATAGAATGAAAATAATAAATAGTCAATGTACTGACTACTATTGAATAAGATAACAAGATTCTGACGTAGTCATTTTGCCTTCTCTCATCCGAGAAATAGTATTAATAAATTTCCTTTTACGTACTTAATCATACTTTTCTATACTTGAAACATTTCAATAGCCTTTTCAATAGAAAGACACATTCACAGAAATCCGTACAAGGGTATATGAATTCGAAACAGGTCACAGAATCTTGTCCGGGTTTATGTCAATGGCGATAAGTGGATATCGTAGCTTGTTATTCTCCGCTTATTTTTCTACCGTATGATGGATGATCAGATTTTAAGCGTCATTGTATCTTCTGAATATTCCATTTTGAACTAAATATTTGTCAAGAACAAACAAAACATTTCTTTATATCTCTATATCTAACTAAAATCTATTGCAAGTTTAGAATATTTTCTTTTTTTTTTCAAGGTAAATGTTCTTCGTGGTATAAATTTACGTGTTCCATCTGGTTATTCTGCGACATCTTTTGAAACTTATGTTATTATTGAATTTCCTTATCCACCTGAAACTCCTCAAACAGCTCGAACACGTTATGGAATTGGTTCAACAATTGCTGAATATTCTGATTCATTACATAAATTTCATATAAAACGTACTGATGGAAAATTTAAACGTTTAATGAGTCGAAAAGAATTAAAATTATCTATATTTTATCGAGTTGGTTTTCTTCGCTCAGATCGTCAATTAGGTATAGCATCAATTAAATTAGCACCATTAGAACAAACATCAACTATACATGAAACAATTGATATTTTTGAAAATGATCATAAAAAAAAAGCTGAAGGAAAATTAGAAGTTAAAATACGTATTAAAGAAGCATTAGGATCAATAAAATCATCTGAAGTATCATTACAACGATGGCTTGTTATTGATCATTTTGAAGAAAATGTAAATTTTAGAATGATTATTTGTTCTTTTGTTTTCTTCAAATTTTTTTCTTTTTTTTTGTTTAGTCTAACAATCCTAAATTGTCAGCATCAAAGTAAGTTAAATATAAATAGGCTATGCTTAGATGCTTCTTCTTTTGCTTCATTGTATTCTCAATGGAATCAATATTGTCCTATCGAAATGTTTTGTTTTTTTTTGTCTAATATTTGGTCGATCATCCTATTTTTTCAGTCTACATGTCGTATCAAATTCAACAACGAATATTAATAAACCAGCATCGTCAATTTGTACATGTTTATAAAAATACAATTATTATCAACAACAAAATACAATCAATTAATAAACATAAAAATAAAGAAATAATTGTTTAATACATATTTTTTGTTTCTTCTTGTTTTATTAATCTTTTCTTTTGCTCACTATCAAACCCTTTCTTAATTAGTATGATTTCTTTTTTTTTTTTGTCTTTATGATTGTATTTTTCTATTAACACAGAATCGAAAGAGAATAATTTTACTCTCAATTCAGATCACCATCAACAGCTCCATCGATTAATGCTATCTCACGCCTTATACCTACAAGTGATGCTTTAGGCTTATTGGCTATAAATTTAGCAAATAATTTAAATAACAATAAGGATAATGATGATGATCATGCAGTAGTTGATAGCAGGTATTTTGTAGAATATAAGATACGATAGTTTGTTCAATCATTTATTTTTGTTTTACTATGCATGTATCACTTTTCGTTTTCTTGCTGAATTGTAGTTTTAACTACATTTGTTTTATAATAATCTATCATTTATTTCTTTTAATCTAGTACAACTGAATCAAATAATAATAATCGTCCTAATAATCAACAGTCAGTTGGTTATCAAAGTATAAAAGTACTTAAATACGAAGCAGATCTTCTAGAACAACAGGTATTATTTGATTATTTCAAGAAGTTTTTTTTTTTTTTATTGTTTTTATTAAATTAGATCGAACAACTTGAAGATCATCTTACAAAAGAACAAATTGATCAATTACGAATAAAACATCAAGCACTTGTGAAACAAAGTGATGATATAGTTGCAAATTTACGTCATGGTGGAAAACAAGTTATACAAGGTATTAATCAATTTGTAATATTTCGTTTATTTTATTTTTTTTTACTAATTGAATTTTTAATAGAACATGTTCGAAGTCTTGAACAATTAATGGAACATTATAATAAAGAATCAGATGAATATCGTCAACGAAATGAGATAAAAAAAGCTGATATGTTTTTACATAAAAAGGATCTTGTTGCCCAAGAAGTAATTAAAATTCAATTCATTTGTTTTTATTTTCTTAATTGAAAATCTTTTGATATTTATTCTTAGATTGAAACGTTTACCAGTTAATGATAAATGCCAGATTCAATCTTATTTTAAAGTTTTTCTGTTTGTTATTCACACTCGATTTATTTATTACACTTTTCTTTGATTTCTTGTTTGCATGAATTATTACATTTTTCTTTTTTTGTAAAAATTCTTTTGTGTTAATAAAGCTATTAACATCAATGGATAATAAAAAAAAAACAAAATTATTTATATAAAACTCGACTTGCCCATGTGTATATTTCTAGATTGAAATATAAATTTTTTTTGGAATGGATTTGTTAGCAAATCAATTAGAATTAAATTCTTCAAGAAATACACTTTTATGTCTTTCACAATATTCAGTTTGTCTTACAGCTGGTTGTTTATCAGAAAAAAATAAATGGCGTGAAAATCTTATGAATTTATATGCTCGTATTAGTTTATGTCGTACTATTAATCGATCATTAGATTATTTTGCTTGCCTTTCAAGAATTCGTAAATATGGTCTTGGACAAAATGTAATTTATCTTTTTTTTTTTTTTTTTTGTTGAAAAATTATTTATTTAAATTATTATTTAGGATTCACTATCATCGCATCTCAATCGTTTATTAACATTAGTTGGTAATTTATGTGATTTTGTTTATTATCCTGCTGAATGTATAGCATGGTTATGTGAAGCAAATGTATTTGGTATAAATCGATCATCGAGACCATTGCGGCTTGTTTCATTAATTTGTTGGTTATCGAATATTGTTATTTCAATTATTAAGTACGTAGAATTATTTATTATTGAAATGAATTATATGTTGTTGTTGTTGTTTTTTTGATTTAAATAGAAATACCATTCAATTAATTAAATATAAAAAATTATTGAAAGCAGAAAGAAATAAAGATGGAAATAGTAAAGAAATACGAAGGTTAGATTTTAATTGAAATAAATTATAAGTTTTTTTTTCTTTGTAATTGTTTTTCAGTCCAATGGTACCTTTATCTGAAATGTATAAATGTATGTTGACATTATTAAATAATTTTTGTTTTTTTCTCCTTTGTATTCATTGGCTTGCAATACCAAAATTTTTATGGTCAGGTAAATTACCTGTATTTATGGTTGGTTTATGTGGAACTTTAGCTACGATATGTAATATTGTTAAAATGGCATTATAATCAATTTATGAAGAAAAATTATAAACTTGTGATAATCACTTTTTTGTGTGTGTGTGATTTTATGATTTTTATTCGATAGATAGAGTGTTTTATCCAGATTGTATCTTTCGAACGAGCTATTCAAAACTTCGGGAGGACGAACAGCTGTTTTTTTTGGGTGAGGGAACCATAGACACATAGTACGTACTACAATAATCATAAATTCTAGAGAGGTCAGAAGTGCTATCCTCTCGCTGGATAAAACACTGACATAGATATATGAAATATTTAATTCTTATTATGAAGATTTTTGTTTGTTTAGAAAAAAAAAAAGTACAGTAAAATTAATTGAATTGATTTTGTCATAGAAACAATGTTACAAAAAAAGGCCAGAGAAAATTCTCATAAGCCATTAATAAGAATATTATTAATAAAAAGAAAAAATTTGCAAGAATATTACATGTTATAAATTTTTAAAAATTTATAGTTCTCAACAATGATTATTCGACAATTAATTATTGAATAATTCTTTTTTGTTTTTCAATTAGACTATTTGAATTTATCTAAAACTAGTAGATAATTGAATTTTTTTTTTTTTTTTTTTCATAGCATTGTAAGTCATTGAAATATAATATCGATAAACGATCTTCATGTGAATAGTCATACTAATTGTAACTAGAATATGATAATGTACATATATATTTGATATTGATCAATATAGACACCATACAACGATCGATTATCGTTGTCAATAGCTATAGTAATTGCACTGTCACTAACACATATAGATGAACATAGGAGATATCATAATTGATGAGTGTAATTGTTCTATTATTGAAGGTTGAACTATTCATCAACTTGGTATTTGATGTATTAATGTCTACTACATCTGTCTATCATATACAAAAGACACAAGTTAAATTTCTTTCGCAAATTGAAACATGAGTAAATGTTCTATTTTTGCTATGATATTATTGTAACGCATCATTGGAATATAAGAATTCTATAAAATTTCAAATAATTTTACTTGTTAAACTAGATAATAATAAATAATTTTTTTGTTTATAATGAGTTGTATATTTTCGATAGTTTGTCAAGAGTCCGTTGGATTGATTCTGGATCTGAAAATTTTAAATCCGACAAGTTCTAGCTACACGTTCAAAAAAATATACAAATTGTCAACAGATTAAAAGTCAGATTTTATCATTCTGCCAAAAAAAGAAAAAACAACGACAAATATTCACTAGAATCTTTTTTTTTCGGTTCGTATAAATGATGCCATAATTCATTGTCTAACCCATGAAGTTATAACTTATTAGCTGAACTTCACAAAAGAACAAGAGACAATTAAATTGGAAATATAGTCTGTAATTTTATGTTTTTTTTTTTCTAAATCATGAACTCGACAATATTTCAAACAAGATAAATGAATACAAATACATTAAAATTATAGAAAAAAAAATTTGCCGATTATTTCATTGTTATTCTACGTAGTGCGCGTATATGTATATATATATATAAATATATGTGTATTGTATGTCTTCAATATTAATACCAATGATTGGGATGCGTTGATGAATGTATATGAGTTGATGTAGCCTAGTAAAAGAAAAAGATAATTATTTAAACCTAATTACGAAAAACTTACGCCGCCTACTCTATTTTGTGTCATAATATCAGTCACTTCACGATCTTCAGGTAACATGATTGGTGAAATAGCAGGTTGTTGATGTTGATGTTGTTGTTGTTGTTGTGGTTGTTGTTGTGGTTGTTGTTGTTGTTGTTGTTGTTGTTGATGTGTTGATTTTGCTATTTTACCTAATCGAACTAAAATATGTACTAGACGTCGAGCAGATATTGGTTCATTAACTAAAAAAATAAAACAAAAACAAAGATTATTTTTGAAAGAAAAATAAATTTATCTTACTATTATATTGAAGATCACGTGCAGCTGAAGTTAAATCACTTTCTGCTAATGATATGCCAAAACGTTGTAAAATATTAGGTAATGTAGTATATGGTAATCGACCTGATGGTTCTGTTCGAAGAAAAATTTCTATAAAAAAGAAAAAAAAAATGTTAATAATAGAAGAAATATTAGAAAACAAACCATTAAGTTGACGAATAGTTAATCTATCACCACTACTACCATTATTAACTACTGTCATTGGTTCTTTCTAAATAGATAACGAAAATTATTTTTCTTTTTTTTTATGTTTTCATGTAAAATAAACTTTTCTTTTACTAATGGAATATTTTGTTCTTTAACAGGTTCTACAGATGGAACAATAGTATTAACTGGTGCACTTGTCTGATGAGATCGATGATGATGATGATGATGGTGATGATGATGATGACTTTCAGTAGTCATAGGAGGAGCTTGTTGTTCTGATTGATTATAATAACGAATTGGAGGTTGACTACGAGGTCCTGTCTCAACACTATGAGCACGATGTTTCGAACTTCGTCGACTTTCTCTATGAACATGATGCTGCTGATTATTATTATTATTGACAACTGGGTCTGTTCGTTTATGAGCTGTTGCTGACCAGGGAGCAGATATTGGTATTGGTATTTGTGATTGATATATAGGTTGAGTAGATTGATATTGTTGTTGTTGTTGATTCGGATAAAATGTATGAAATGATGTAGGATGTGTCGTACCTCGATTTGGATTTTTATTTGTCTGAGGTGATAATGGATGATTACGTGTTGGATGAGTATTTGAATTATCAATATTTCTTACTGATTTTGCTGTTGATGATGTTGGATAAACAGATGGTCTAAGAAATTAATTAAATAGAAAACAAAAAAAATTTGTTTTATTTTTTCAATATAAATTATTGTTTTACTTTTGATAAGAAAGAGCAGGAGGTTGTTGACCATAATAATATGGTTGTTGATATAATGGATTTTGTTGAGGTAAAAATGATGGAGGCATATAAATATTTGATGGTTGCGATTGTTGTGGTAATACAGGATTGCTATAATAATGTTGAACAGGTCGTGATTGTGGCCACATATATTGAGGTTGATTAGCATTAGGTACATAAGGTACTAAAGCTCTTGCATGATCTCGACTACTTTTTTTTCCTTTATGTTTTGATTGTGATACATTGAAAGGACTTTCACGTGAATTCGTACGATGATGAGTATGTTGTTGTTGTTGTTGTTGTTGTTGTTGTTGTTGTTGCGGTTGTTGTTGTTTGCGTTGTGATGTGACAGAAACATCTTGTTCATTTGATGTTGTTCGATGATTATCAACTTTAGGTTGAATATTACTTGTCATACGCATTGAAGATGTTGTTGCTTGTGACAATATATTATCATCTGTTACAGACGTTGTTGTTATTGGTGGTGGTGGTGGTGGTGGTGGTGCAATATGATCTTGTGAATGTGTACGACTACGTGAACGTTCTGAATCTCGTTCTTTTTTAAGATCTTCTCTCATTTTTTCTAAATTTGTTGATACATAATAATGAGATTGATTCTGTTGTTGAGTACCATGTGTTTTTGTTTCATGATTTGATGCAATTTTACTTGCTCGTTTTTCAACAAGTATAACACGTTCAACATCAGATTCATATTTAACTTTAACTTTATATCGTCCTGTACGAAAAAGTTCTAATGCAGCTGGATAATCACGAAGTAATTGTTCAACTTCTTTAATACTTTTTACACTTCGAGAACCTTCCATAGTATTTTGAACTAAGAAAAATTTAAATAGATTTTTATTTAATCAAGAAAGAAAATAAAAATCATTTACATTGAGCTTTTGTATATGGACCACTTTGAACAGCAGTTGACGCATTATTTGTATCCAAAGATGAAACTGTACTTACGGGTGTTGATGATTTCATAACAGTAGTAACAGGCATAATATTTTATGTGTTACAAATAGAAACAAAAAAAATTGAAACTAAAAACGAAAATATCTTAATAATATAATTAATTTAACTAGATCATTTGATAAAATCTCTATAATCTTAATTAAATAATTATACAATCTTTTCAATGAATTAGTTTTCTATGTATTTCATCTGTTTATTTTTTTTGTAAAGGAGTAATCTAATTATACATATCTATTTGTCAATGCATACCTATTAGTAGATGATTTTTTTTTGGAAAATAAAAGATCTACTTTTTCTATTGTACAACTTACTAATTCGAATATTATCGTTTAATGAATACTTATATGTCGATGTTCTATATCCAACTTGTATTACCTTTCACCATCATCTTTTTCTTCCCTATTAGTCGTTTGGTCACGCTTTCATAACACTTTAATAAAAAAAAAAAGAGAGAAAAGAAGAAATGTAATGATCATGAGAAAAAAGAAGAACGCAAACCATAACTGTTACATATATGAAAGGTAAAAAAAGAAAAAGAAGTGAGTTGTCCGATTGAATCAAATAACTAACGTAATTAGTTTTGTACATAGAATGTATTCGGACGGTCACCGGTTTCGCTCGAATAATTTCGAATACGATAATGTGAATAAGCAAGAAGAAAAAATTGTATGAAGAGTCACATTTACATTCTTTCCATTAGACATATGTAATAAAGCGTTTTTTTTTTTCTTTGCAATAATATACATTTATCAATTCGTAATGAATGTATTTCGTGTCAATATTGAAAAAAATGGTGACAGTTCAAATTTATCAAATAGTTCATTTTTAAAAGTTTATTTTCAATATGTAGTAAAAAGAAAAAAAAAACTATAATTTAAAATTTTTCTTGATTATAATAATAAATCAAATTTGAAAGTTTATAAATCAATTTTAGCAATACGTTGAACAAGTTCATCAAAATTATAACGAGTTTTAAATGTTGTTGATGTTGGTTCTTTTGTCATCATGCCTGTTAATTCTTCATACTTTATTAAATCAGGTGTCAAAATCATAACACAATGAGCAAACCAATTATATGGTTTAACCAGTAAACATCCTTCACGTTGTAACTATAATTATACATTAAATTGAAGACAAAAAAGAAAAAAAAACTAATTTCTTAAACTTACA